TTAGACTTACAGGATCCTGGGGTTGGGCTAAGATTGCCTTCTGCCCTTAGCAAAGTATGAACACCAGGCAGCTGAGTCCCTAGAGGAAGGTCACTCTGCCTGCTTCAAGGACGTGTCAGTGGGCTATAAGTTGTAAGGAAATTTAGATATTTTTCTTCTTCCTTTCTTTCCCACATCACTGTCCACAAAAACTTCATGAGGCATTAGACAGACTCAACATTAGTCTAAGCTTTTTCTTTCAGACAAATTTTGCAACAGAAATACCATGAACTTATTTGACTTTTACTAAACACAAGCAGAATAAAAATTTTATATTTAATGGTGATAACTCTAAAAACATAACTATTTTAATTAAGCCAACAAACTTAATTTAGCTTAATACCAAATATTTTCTCAGATTACATGAGTTTAAATTTATTTCTAACTTTCTGAATGTTGGAATGCCCAATCTCTACAAACATGTACCTTCAAACTAAATAGAGTTCTTGTATGTGTTAACTATACCAATACCATCCAGGGATAGAGCAAATATCTCACATTAAAACATACATGGACACACACACACACACACACACACACCACAAAATACAGACAAGATACAAACAAAATTTTGATATTTGTGGAGAGGATATTGTAGGCCCAATTTAAAAAAAAAATCTATTTATTTGAGGAGGGGGGGAGAGAGAGAGAGAGAGAGAGAGAGAAAGAAAGCAGGGGGAGGGGCAGAGGGACAGAGAAGGAGAGAATCTCAGACTCCACACCAAGCACAGAGCCCAAAGCAGGACTTGAATTCACCACTCTGAGATCATGACTTGAGCTGAAATAAAGAGTCAGACATGTAACCAACTGAGCAATCCAGGTGCTACTAGGCCTAATTTTTAAATAGTTCCATCTATCTATCTATCTATCTATCTATCTATCTATCTATCTATCTATCTATTTTTATGAAAAACTTCTCCCTAAAGTTTGCATGTCAAAAAGACTGGCTCTGGGTCTTAGAGAAAATGGAGGTAGAAAATGTATATCAAAAGCAGAGAGAGAGTATATAAGTTTTCTTGAAGGTGGATATTTGGAGCATCTCTGCCTGTTATCATAGGTACTGTATACTCTGGCCATAAGAGTGCTTTTCAGAAGTTTGCATTTAATTTTATTTATTTTCTCTTAAAGATTTTATTTATTTATTTCTGTGAGACACACAGAGAGAGAGAGAGAGGCAGAGGGAGAAGCAGGCTCCATGCAGGGAGCCGGATGTGGGACTCGATCCCGGGGTTGTGGGATCAGGACATGAGCTAAAGGCCGGTGCTCAACCGCAGAGCCACTCAGGCATCCCCTGCATTTTAAAAAGGCCTCTTTCCCTCCACCCTACCCTCTCTTCTTTTTAAATTCAGTCTCAAATTAAATAAATAAATAAATAAATAAATAAATAAATAAATAAATAAAAATAAATTCAGTCTCAGGAAATTGTGGAATGTGTTTATATTTCAAAGACATGGTAAGATTTATAATCTCAAGGGACTGAGAATGCAAAAGAAATTTTTGTCTAGAGTTTCAGGGTAATTCCTATTAAAAACTTACTCCTCTTTTTAAAGTACAGAACAATTTTGTTCCAATATGCTGATTTTTAAAATATATCCACAAACATTTTGAAAGGAATATGCAAGGTTTGGAGATTCGTAAAGACAGGTGGGCTTTAACTTGTTTCTAGAGTTGTAGAGATTCTGTAGAGATTTGTAAAATAAGGAGAGTTATTCCTAATTCCCAAAAGACTGGATTATATCGAAGGATTGGCCCATCTTTTTAAATGAATTTACTTCTTCATATTACAGAGAATGTTAACCGAATTAGGAGCCCAAAATGTATGCCTTTGTAAAGTCTATCTAAAGCATTTAAACAACAGCCTTGTTTTTCTGGATACACAATTTAAACTGGGCTTCTATTAGCCCCTGAATATTAGCCTTTTGTAAATCATTTCTGGGAGGGCCTAAGGGATATTTTGGTTTTATATTTCCTCAGAAGCCAAAGTTGTGAATACAGTCAAGTAATCTTTCAAATCACTCCCAAAATGTGGTAGAATCTTTTCAGAGTAGAAGTAAAGGGGCTTTATAATTGAAAAGCTCTGCTGTGATCCAGGGGAACGGGATTTTGCTGTTGTGTAGTTGTGGGGCTGGGTGGAGACAGGAGGGCAGTCAATCTAGCATACTCCTGCAAAGGGCATTGATTGTATAGGCATGCCTTGAGGCTTGCAGAACTTGATTACAGAGCTAAGGCAGGTAGGACCAAAGCAACCTTTATTGCTAATCTCCTGCTGCTTTTGTGAAACTCATTTTCTGGCTTTCAGCATTTACCTGAGCAACATGTATATTTTGAACCTAGAGATTAAGCCAGAGTGATCTCCGTAAATCTGGTAGGAAAGGGGAATTAAAACAGGCACTTGCAGCCAAACTTTAAGAAGGAGAATTTACATTGCCTGTGGACATTTCTTTTTGTCTTGCGTCTGATTTCTGGTCTTTTATCTTGTCAATGGAGTCCCTAAGGTGAGCCACTATAAGACAATTGAGGGCTCCTTAATATATATATTTTAATACAGTCAATTTAAAGGATCCATTGTAAAAATAAATGAATGATACATTGTGTGGCCACTGATGCGTAGGATCTATTAATAGTGACTTCTCTTGCTTTTTTTTTAAGACTTTATTTATTTCTTCATGAAAGACACAGAGAGAGAAGCAGAGACATAGGCAGGGGGAGAAGCAGGCTCCTCTCAGGGAGCCTGATGTGGGACTCGATCCCAGACCCTGGGATCAGGCCCAGAGCCAAAGGCAGATGCTCAACCGCTGAGCCACCCAGGCGTCCCCTGTTAATAGTCACTTAAACCAATGAGCTTTCTAATGGCTTAACCAAAGACACAATAGGTGTCTAGAGAGGATGCAGACGATGCAGCCCCCCTGATCCAAAAGTGTACTTATGAAATTAGTCTAAGACAGCAAAGACCTTCATTGCGCAGGCAGTAAGGATGGTATAATGAATAAGATGTGCCTGGTCTCTCATGACAATGTGATACATCTCCAGTCTCAGATCCACTAATTCATGGTATCAGGTAGGCGCTTCTGGAAAGAGACTTTCCAGCACTAACGAGGAAGGAATGCTGAGATGACAAAGATGCCTATGAACTGGAACCTCTCATGACACAGCTGAACAGAGAAATTCTGATCCCCAGTGGATTCGATTGCCCACCAAGGTGCACCCTGGTAAGTGCACCCTCCCGATGGTGACAGGGGAGACCAAAAGAGAATTTTCGCGCTGGGCAAAAGCCAAGCTCTTAGGACATAGAACAAGACAAAAGGAAAATAGTAACAGATCAAAGCCTTCGGTCTCCTGGAGCCACACTAATACCTGGGAAGTATGTGCTGTGGAGTTGGGACTCCATGTTCTTTTCCAGTGTACTTACTTCACAAAGTTTACTTGAGTTTGGGGGTGACCTAGTGTCAACATAACCCTTTCCAGACCAACTTATCCTATCATGAGTGTCTTCTTCTTGCGCTAGTCAGCATTCAAATAGCTTTAGAGTGGTCAATCCATACCCTTGGCTCCCAAGAAGTCCCTTAGCAAGAGACCACAAACAGCATAAAAGACACAGACAAAAAAAAAAAAAAAAAAAAAAAAAAGCAAAGACCATCTCTGGGAGGAAAAGGATCAGTTAGTTACCAAAGAGTACTCTGTCAAATTAAGCAGAGTCATTTAGTCCAAGACACTAGTTCCACAAATATTCTCTGTTCCTAATCTAAACGTAGAAAGAGAGAAAAAGAATTCTTACCATTCTTGCCCCATCACTACCCTTGCACTCCACAGAGACTAAAAGAGGCAGACATGATAAATCTTACCTGATGCCAGCAATGTGGCAGATCTCCTAAGTTTCTAAGCTGCAGCAGAGTCTGGGGCAAGAAGTATCCAAGGAGTTAAAGTATCCTGGCATTTGGGACAGCTCTAGGGGAGCAAATAATCCTGTCCCTTCAAAGCTCCCTGAGGCTAGACTCAAATTGGTATGAACAGACTTAAAAAGAGAAAACCAACCATACACTGTACATATGGGGAATTCACAAAGACACGGATATTCCAAAAACAGGGAAAATGAAGCAGATATATATAGTATATGTACAGTATATATAGATATATATTTATATGTATATATATATCTCACAGTAAACTAAGGAAACTAGTATATATATATATATATACACCATACACACATATACTATACAGCACGTGAGATACATATATATATTGGAGCCCTTCTTCGGGGCCGGCGCGGACTTGGCTGCCTCGGGCACATCGACCCGGCTTTCTCCTGAGAGAAGAGAAAATGGAGTCCACTTCGCCGAAGGAGTTTGAGAGGACCCAACGCACTTCCTAGAGCAGATGTTTGATAGATGTTTGACCTACCATAGGTGTGTGTCACTGATATAAAATTTATCTCTGTTAATAATACTTATTCGAGAAAGGTACCCTTTATCCAATTTAGAGTCTCCTCTATCGTTAAGAGAAGAAGAAAAATATCTCAAGTATGCGGGGCCTCAAGTGCCTTCAACTCAAAATAACCCACACTCCAAAGACTCACAACTGCAGGGCAGTGGCCTCTCCTGAACAACTACACTATAAAAAATCTGAATATGTTATACACTAGATTGCCTACCTGGCATTCGAAAATACAAGAGTGTGATTTCTAATATTGAATATTAATCCATAAGTTAATCGGCATTCCTATTAATAATCAGATCTTACGATAATAAAACACCTTGAACTAAAGCAGCCAGGCTGACCCGCTGCATCAAGATCTGACCAATGGGAGAGCAGAACTCCAGCCAATCACTAGACGGCAGGCCGTACCACAAGCCGACGAATCAGCGGGGGCAAAGCCTATCCTTCATTTGCATAAGGTTGGCTATAAATACACAGGATCCCGAGGCGGACTCCATTTTCTCTTCTCAGGAGAAAGCCGAGTCGGTATGCCCGAGCCCGCCAAGTCCGCGCCGGCCCCGAAGAAGGGCTCCAAGAAGGCGGTGACCAAGGCGCAGAAGAAGGACGGCAAGAAGCGCAAGCGCAGCCGCAAGGAGAGCTACTCGGTGTACGTGTACAAGGTGCTGAAGCAGGTGCACCCCGACACGGGCATCTCGTCCAAGGCCATGGGCATCATGAACTCGTTCGTCAACGACATCTTCGAGCGCATCGCGGGCGAGGCGTCGCGCCTGGCGCATTACAACAAGCGCTCGACCATCACGTCCAGGGAGATCCAGACGGCCGTGCGCCTGCTGCTGCCCGGGGAGCTGGCCAAGCACGCCGTGTCCGAGGGCACCAAGGCCGTCACCAAGTACACCAGCTCCAAGTGAGCGTTCTCCGAGGCACCATCCAACCCAAAGGCTCTTTTCAGAGCCACACGGTTTCACCAGCAGAGCTGCGCAACTGGCACTCGCTGTACTCGTAGCTTGGCGTTTGGTCAGGTTAGCAGGGACCTCCGGGACGCCACCGCCCATAGCCGGTGTCGGGTGGCGGGCTCCCTGCCCGTGACTCTTGACAGCCGTGGTGTGTACACGCGTCCCCAGCAGTGTGAACGAACGCGCACTGGAATGGTCCCCACTCGCAGCCCTCGCCCTTGGAGCCCCGGATCGCCTTCCTGACAGGTGTTCGGGCGCGGGCAGTGCTGGGGGGGTCTCTAAGCTCCGAGGACTGACCTGGAGGCACCGGGCTCCCTCCTTCGGTTCAGTGTCCCCCCACAGGGTGGGGACGGCCACAGGGACCTTTGAAGAGCGCGCCTTCTACAGGCGAAGTTTCCTCTTTGGTGCCACAGGACTCGCGACCCCGGGTTCTTTGTGTGGCTCGGATTCCTCCCCGCCTCCCCCCTCCCACCCCCGCCTCCCTCTGCCCCACTCGCCTGCTCCGGGCTATCAGGGACCTGGCTGGACACCTGCTGCGGGTCTGTAAGTGTGTTGGGCGGCTGAACGCTCCAGTGAGGACACAGGTCCGTAGAGTTAGCAGGCGTGGCTGTACCCTTTCCTTCCTCAGCTGCTCTGAAAAGGCGTTCGTTACATTTGATGCTTAGGGGTTATGGGGAAGACTGCGTTTCTCTCCCGCTCTCCTCCCTGACTCCCACATGACCTGCGAAGACCTTTCTGGGCCTTCAGCCGCCTCCGTCTCCTCCCTAGCGCAGCCACAGGAGGAGAAGAAGGCTGGCTCAGCACCCCGAGTCCAACCTTCTCTGTCACGGGCGAGTCCCCTCCGAGCCGTCCACCTGTCCTGTCTCCAGCCCCGGCCCCCCAGCTCAGTGATCCCGGAGAGAAGACCCGACACCCGGGCTCAGAGAGCGGAGAAGAGCAGGACGTGCGTTTTAACATTGTGATGCTGGACACCAAGGTCTGGAAGGTTTGTGGTTTGTGAGCACCTGATGCCCAAGAGCCTACACCCCGACAGTTAAAAGTAGAATCTGTCTCCTTGCCTCATTTCTCCGCACGCTGCCATGTGGAGGCTTCCTTTTCGAAGTTAGGTGAGAAAGACTGGGTCCAGAACACCTCACCTGTAAACGGAAAGACCTAATGCACCCAGGAATAGCTAACTCTGTCCTCCTCTATCCCTTATTCTCCCAAAAAGGCAAACAATCACAAGGAAACAAGTATTTTCAGGTTGCCACATTAAAACTGCACTTCAAATTCTGATCCTCTTGTTCCAGTCTGAGATAATACCAAAACTCTCCTGTGCGTGGAGAATCTACTTTCCATACCAGAGGGAGCCCAGTTCTGGAATAAAGCACCTGCTCATGTATTATTCCTCTCAGGGCCTTTCAGGGACCCCTCCCCTACTGCACAAAATCAGAAATCGAGCCCATAGCCTGCCCCTCACCTAAAACTCAAACCAAACCTCAGAGGATTCTTTCCCTCTTGCTATTTCCCTATTTTTTTTATTATTATTATTATCAGTATTCTTTTTTTTCTTGGTTTGCTTTTTTTCACTGTCAGGAATTCCCTGTGACGTCTCCAGCCTCCAGGATTTTAAAATGTTCTCTGCCTGAAATGTCCTTAATTCCACTGCATCCCTAACAAACACACACACGCACAGTTTTTTAATCAACAACTCACCTTTCTGCTCAATCAAAACGCTATTGGAGAAGCTGAGCCACACTAATAAAGTCTCTCACAGCCAGCCACAAAGGACTGGCTGTATTCCCAGCCCCAGACTAATCATTACTAAGTGGCTGGGACCCTCAGGACTACTGCGGTTGAATCAGGACCTGATCCCTGAGACTAGTGAGAAACTCTGCCTTCCTGGAGCACAGGACAACCAGCAAGGGGAGACCCAGACAACACTGAAAAACGTTAGAGAAGGGGGGGGGGGGGTCATGGCACTGCCTGATACAAAGCCTTCTAGGCAGAAAGAAAGAGCATCCATTTGGTCATTCCTACCCAGGTGCCAAGCACTTAATTATGTCCTGAGGATTCAGAGCAGGGCTTCTAACCTTATGAGTGCATCAAAATCACCTGGAGGCTTGCTGGAGGACAGATTACTGGCCCCACTCCCAGAGATTCTGTTCCTTGGCTCTGGGCAAAATCTGGGAACTTGGCTTCCTAACAAGTTTCCACAGATACAAATGTTGCTTGTAGCTACTCTGCTTTGAGAACATCTGATACATGGAGAACAAGCCAAACAAAAGCCCTTCCTGGGGGGGGGGGGGGTTCTGATGGTAAAGTTGAGCTTATGACATATGAGGAAAGGAAAATCAGGATTGCCTGGGTGGCTCTGTCAGTTCAGCATCTGCCTTTACCTCAGGTTATGATCCCAGGGACCTGTGTTCAAGCCCCACATTTGGGCTCCCTGCTCTGAGGGGAATCTGCTTCTCCCTCTACACCCACCCCACTCTTGTGCTCTCGATCTCTCTCAAATAAAATCTTGTTTAAAAATGAGGAAAGAAAAATCAGAGGAGAGTTGAAGCAATTCCTTTATTTGGTCAGATATTGATTTCCTCTGTGTGAGGTATTAAGCTACAGCAGGAAGTGTTGGACAAGAGACCCCTCTCTGGGCCTGAGATCCCGGTGGGAGAGGAGAGATCATCACACTGATGCCTCAGCTCAATCGTTTCAAATAGCAGTTCTCACCGCTATGAAATCATTTGAAATAAAACAGGTGCCCTGATACTGATGAGATGATGCTTCTAATGAGGAAACCAATGACCTAGGGGGTAGTCCAGGGCAAGGGACTGTTGGTACAATAAAGTCCTAGGGCAGGGATGACTTTGTGCTCAGGGGTGGAAGGGATCCAGGGTGGCTCAGAGGCTGGGAGACTTGTAAGCAAAGGTCAGGTGTTAGGACATAAGGCCGAGGGCTAAATGGGTGCCTGAAAATGTTGGGCTTTTTGGGCCAAAGAAGGCACCCAGATAATTATTGTGTCAAGAGAAACTATTAGAATTTGAAAGCACTCAGGGTGCTGTGTGGAAAATGGTACTTGTGGGTTTAGAGGTAGAAACAAGCAGAAGAAAGAATGGAAGAGTTATTGCAATAACCCTGGTGAAATTATTACAGGTGCTATGGACGAGAAAGTCCCAAGAATTCATTGATGAACACAGTTTCATGGGTAAAGAAAAGTGTGCATGACATTGATGGAGCACTTTCCAGGTGTTGAAGACACTGTGCCAGACTCTCTCCTTAAAGGGCAGCTCACATCATCCTTCTCGACATCCACAGTATCCACATACAACCATTCTCTCTGTCTAGTTGACTAGGGATGAGCCAGGTGTGGGGATGGAGTTGGAACCAGATGGTACACCTCCAGGTTGTGCGCTTGCCCACAGCCTACGATGAGGCTGAAGTTCTTGGATGAATGATCACCAACCATGGGACAGGCTGAGGTTTCAGAAACTGGGACAGGACCATTTTTAAATCCCCATCAACATTCCATTGGAGGGTCAAGTAAGTAGCTGTAGATATGAGCCTGATATTCAGAGGCAACTTTGGGACTGTACAAAGAAATGTTTAAATATTTGGAGTGGCAATTTTACTGTGCTTGGCACACATTAACACTGGTATTTACCCATGGAGAAAGAATAAGGAATGACTCAAAGTTCAGAGAAAAAGAAGGGAGCCAAAGATTCTAAATGCCGAGGAAGAGAATGAGGAGAATAGACTCACAAAAGTCAAGAAAAGACTATGTCAGGAAAGAGGACATGGCCAACCTATGGTGATGTGTATGAGATGAGGAAAATGACCTTTGCATATGATAAATGGATCTCACTGGAAATTCGGATTATAGGTAGCAAAGAGTTACCCAGATTTGGGGGGGACAGCTTCAGGAGTATTCCCTCTTACCTAGGCTTTAAGTGTCCGCACTATGTTGTTCCTCTCTGTCTTGGGTGGATCATGGATGACTGATGCTGGCACCTCTCCAGCTGGATCAGTTAGATTTGCTTTCCTAGAAACTAGAAAACAGGACAGAACAGAAAGTCCTGCCTGCTCAGCAAATTTGTCAGGGTGGTAGGAGAACATCTCCTTCAGAAGTTTTTTACATTGCTCAGATAAACTGGAATTGAGTTTTTATGGTTGCATCCACAAATCGTTCATCATTTCACTCACAACTTCTCAGGAAAACATGTAAAGTCAAATATGGTCATGTTAATCATCCTCCACTATCCTGCTCAGTGTCACAGAAGTATTAACTTACCCTCACGTTACCTATGATGGAGAGTGGTTAGTGATTTGCTGCAGACCACAAAGACAGAAAGAGACAGGTCAGGACTTTAAGAGCATGTATTCATAATTTATAGGTCCCCTCTTTTTCTCTGGGCCTAATTTCATGAGCAATAATGATAATAGTAATAGCAATAATAATCAAAGAGAAAACATAGAGCACTTACCGTGCACCATGCACTGGACAAAATGGTTTGGTTTTATTCACCCCAAACCTATAAGGTCGATACTACTGTTTTCCCCATTTTACAGATGGGGCAACAGAGACACAGAGGTTAAGTGACTCAACCAAAGACAACACAAGCACAAATCTCTCTCTGTACAAGGCTTCCAGTTTCATAGATTTTATATATACCTGAGATGATATTGGGAACTTGTAAACTTAACCTATGATTTGCTCAAACATGTAGACTACTACATACTGAGGCCTTGTTAGTGTTATTTACCCAGATGGGTGAATGGAAGACATTTCAGTGGGCCTTAGGAAAAATTCATGACTTCTTCCTGAATCAGGGTGAAAATAAGTTCCTCACTGCTTGTATTTACTCCCAGATCATGTGAGATTCAGTTTGTACTTTCAAGCTTTAACTTTAAGGAGTTATTCATGTCACACAGGACAGATCCACAGTGATCAGTTCACCTCTGAAGGGCAACTCTGCTCCTCCTGATAAATCCAGGATCTTTTCCCTTCAAGTCATTGCTCTGCTATCCCCTGGGACCTGATGTCCCTGCCAAGGGACTGCTGGATCACCTTCTTACCTGGTGGGAAAGGGGAAAGCCCAGACCTGGGAGTGACTTAGCCCAGACCTGGGAGTGACTTCTGACTTTCGGAGCTCTTAGCCACATTCTTACCTGTGTTCCAGGGAAGCGGGGACATGTTGCCTAAGGCTACAAGCCCAGCTATGTAGTTTATTCTGTTCAAGTGAACAACCTTAATGGGGGGGGGGGGGGGAGCCAGGCTACACAGCAAGGAACCTCTAAGACTCTCCACAAAACCAAACACACTGGGATCACACCAAGGATACAGGGGTAAGGTGGCAGTCTGTGGCATGCTTAAAGAACCTAAGAACAAGAAAGCAAGCGGGAACTCACTAGAAAACCAACGCAATTTTTCCCTAGTCTGCTGATACTACTAGGCAAGGTGGGATTTAAACCCTAAAAACCTGGGCTCGCACAGTCAGGACAGGTTGCATGCAGACCATAGAACCATCACCTGTTAACTGAAGGGACCTCGGAAGTCTAAGATTATGTCCTATAATAAACTAAGGCACTTGATTAAAGCACCTTTTAAGTGGACCTATAGCACGTGTACATTAGGTGGTCTTGGAGGAAGATCAGAACCTCTGGATGGAATTCAGTGGAAGCGAGGCGGACAGGTCCTTCCCCCTCGCCCCCGCCCCCCCAGGATGCCTCACGACTGACAGGCATTAAGGGGTCAAATTTAGAACGGGAGCAGTAGCCTGGGCACATGGAGAGACCCAACTAGGTGTAATCTGCCGAAGTAAGAAATTCACAGCGACAGTACAAAGTGAGCACCTCTTTCTGTAGACTAGATAGGTGGCCCTGAAAAGGGCCTTTGGTTGCAAACTGGGATTTCCTGGTGTTGAGGTCAGAACTCAGCCGCCGAAGCCGTAGAGGGTGCGGCCCTGGCGCTTGAGCGCGTAGACCACGTCCATGGCCGTGACCGTCTTGCGCTTGGCGTGCTCCGTGTAGGTGACGGCGTCCCGGATCACGTTCTCCAGGAACACCTTGAGCACCCCGCGGGTCTCCTCGTAGATGAGGCCCGAGATGCGCTTGACGCCGCCGCGCCGGGCCAGCCGCCGGATGGCGGGTTTGGTGATGCCCTGGATGTTGTCGCGCAGCACCTTGCGGTGGCGCTTGGCGCCGCCCTTGCCCAGCCCCTTCCCGCCCTTGCCGCGACCAGACATGACGAGACCAGAACCTCTGGAGCCTGCACGACACTACCAGCGCCCGCCACGCCGCATTTTTATAACAATGTGACGGACCTGTTTGAAAACCGCAAGCGCAGGGGCGGATCCACACTCCGTTCCCGCCCATCGCCCTTCTAGCCTTTGCTCAGACTGTGCAGACCCGGAAGGCCGGGCGCCCCAAGCAGGAGTCTGTGCCGGGGGAAGGGGATTCCGTAAATCCTCTCGAGTTTCTGATCCGTGCAATGGCCTTGCAGCACTTGCAGCCGCTATGCGGGCACCCGCTATGCCGGGCACCAATGCATACGCTTTCCACAAAGACCTCGTCCTTCACATTTCCCAATCAAGGGCAAAATATGTAGATCCTCCTCGCTGTCGTCCCTCGGAGAGGTTTTCAATAAAATTTGAAGCTAATCCTATCTGTATTGCTAAGATTCTGTTCGTGTTATCGATCGATGGGTGTCCGGTCCCTACGGAGGGCTGGCTGGCTGGCATGCAGGCTGTCCGCTCCCTGCGGAGGGAACAGACAGAGTCGCCTTAAACATTTCAAAGTCAAGTCAGGTTCCACACTGAAGCCTGCGCTGACCATTTGTAAACGCGTGTATGCCAAAGTGAGGAGAGCCTGGTTCTGCTGTGAGTCTCCGCTCTGCGACTTCAGTGTATACTTAGTTACGCACAGCTTAGAGGTAGCGCGGTGTCCGCCTCCACGTTCTGGTGCTCCGGCCTTTGGCATAACCTAGAACGCGGCTCTGGACACAGCCTGCCGCCGTGCTACCTACAGGACCTCGGGCGGGCTATACTCGCTTCTTTTCCTTTCCAAATGTATAAGAAAGTCTAAGTCATGGAGCTTTGAATTTTCTTTTTTTTTTTAATTTTTATTTATTTATGATAGTCACACAGTGAGAGAGAGAGAGGCAGAGACACAAGCAGGCTCCATGCACCGGGAGCCCGACGTGGGATTCGATCCCTGGTCTCCAGGTCGCGCCCTGGGCCAAAGGCAAGCGCCAAACCGCTGCGCCACCCAGGGATCCCTTTTTTTTTTTTTTTTTTTTTTTTTTTTTTTTTTTTTTAGCATTGAATTTTCAAAGGGAAAACCCATGTAAAGCGTTTACTATCCGCAAATAAGCACTCCCAAAATGATTATATTATTGTGGATGTTTCTCTGCTCCTTCACTCACTAATCACTCCTTGGAATAATGAGCCTAACAGAGCATCCTAGTTTCCTACAACTTCCTTTCCAGAACTCCTTAAAAATAATAAGCACTGAAAGATTGAATTCAGCACTAATCCGTTTGTGGAGTTCTAGTTGACTTTGTGGGGATTTGGCTTCTCCTCCAGGGAGAAGCTGAATTACAGGAGTATAAATTTGTTAATGCTTATTTAGTACTCTGTTTAGGTTTTTCTCTCTCCTTCCTAGAGATAGATCATTTTTTTGACTGGGTTCTTTTGCTCACCACCCTTTAAAGGGACCAAAACCCCATAATTTTCACAATAATTTACCATATTAAATAGGAATATGGTTGCTGAAACCTGCATCCTGTGTATTGATATAAGGATCAACTCTCTCTAAGGAGAGACATAGTTGGACTACTCAGAACCCACTGGTGTTCATTGGAGCTGGCTACATTGATAGTTCCTTTGAACCCTTACTAAGCAGCTGTTGAACGTATGAGAAGCCAAGAATGTATAGAATAACTCTAGAGAGCAAGTTATCAAAAGCACAAAGCGAAGAATTTGTCTTTTAAATGAAAATCAAGAAGTTGTCTCTCTAACCTGTGAATCTCTCAGAGTGTCAGGGACTTTTGAAAAAAGCTGAAACCCAGATGATGAAAACCGGAAAATGTCAAAGCTTAAGGGGTCCTGCTTCACTATAGAATGTAATCAGCGTGATTCCTCCCCAGGAAATTTTTGTTATTTTTGCTTTCCCCAACTGTAACAAACAATTCCAGGACAGAGCTGACACCAGGCTGCTGTCATGTTGGAGGACTGAGCTCGAAGCCAATCAGCGCGCAGCGTCTTTGTTGTATATATACTCACACACGTGCACACACGCGCACACGGAAACACGCACGCACACTGGGCCAGGAGCTCAACTCCTAGACTCGATTAATATTATTTTCTCCTTTCAGCTTTAGGTCCCCATACCCACCATGTCCAAGACAGCTCCTGCCGTGCCTCCCCCCTCCAACCCCGCCCAGAAAACGCAGGTGAAGAAGGCCCACAAGTCCGCAGGCGCAGCCAAGCGCAAGGCGTCCGGGCCCCCGGTGTCCGAGCTCATCACCAAGGCGGTGGCCGCGTCCAAGGAGCGCAGCGGCGTGTCCCTGGCCGCGCTCAAGAAGGCGCTGGCGGCCGCCGGCTACGACATGGAGAAGAACAACAGCCGCATCAAGCTGGGCCTCAAGAGCCTGGTGAGCAAGGGGACCCTGGTGCAGACCAAGGGCACCGGCGCCTCAGGCTCCTTCAAGCTCAACAAGAAGGTGGCCTCTGGGGAGGCCAAGCCCAAGGCCAAGAAGGCAGGGGGGACCGGCACCCCCAAGAAAAGCGCCAAGAAGACCCCGAAGAAGGCCAAGATGCCCGCCGCGGCGACCGTCACCAAGAAGGTGACCAAGAGCCCCAAGAAAGTGAAGGCGGCCAAGTCTAAGCGGGCAGCTGAGACATCCAAGAAGAACCCTAAGAAGGCCAAGAAGCCCGCCACAGCCGCCTTCACCAAGAAGGTGGCCAAGAGCCCAAAGAAGGAGAAGGCGGCCAAGGCCAAAGCAGCCAAACCCAATTCGGTGGCCGCCAAGAAGTAAGAATTCAGGCTACAGAAGAATGCTTTAACGACTCTTTTCAGAGCCACACAACTAATCTTATGAAAGAATTGTATCACTTGCTTCCTCCAGCATCTTTCACAATTCAACCAAGTACACAGCAACCTTTCATTAAAAAAGAGATGGACCTTGGCTCTAAAAACAGCCTTTGAGCTTAAGGCTAGCTGCTATCACCGGCTTAAAAGAATTTACGCCCTCTCCCCGCGTATGCGGCGCGCCAGCTGGATGTCCTTGGGCATGATGGTGACGCGCTTGGCGTGGATGGCGCAGAGGTTGGTGTCCTCGAAGAGCCCCACCAGGTAGGCCTCGCACGCCTCCTGCAGCGCCATGACGGCCGAGCTCTGGAAGCGCAGGTCGGTCTTGAAGTCCTGCGCGATCTCGCGCACCAGGCGCTGGAACGGCAGCTTGCGGATCAGCAGCTCCGTGGACTTCTGGTAGCGCCGGATCTCGCGCAGGGCCACCGTGCCGGGCCGGTAGCGGTGCGGCTTCTTGACGCCGCCCGTGGCCGGCGCGCTCTTGCGGGCCGCCTTGGTGGCCAGCTGCTTGCGCGGGGCCTTGCCGCCCATCCACTTCCATGGTGACAGCTGTTTGCGCAAGGCCTGATGGACAAGCAAGCAGTTGCCTTCCTGCAAGGCATCCTAAAATTAACCACAACACTTCAACACTTACATGAAGGAAAGAGGAAACCATACCACACTCTCTCTCTCTGATTGGACATTTAATTCCCTAAGGCTCCAAGGGAATCAAACCAATATTGGTTAGTAACCTTCACTCCCTGAATCACATGACCTCCAGTACATTTAATCCAAAAATTAATGTCATCAAAGAAAAAAATCAACATCTTCCTCCAATCTATTAACCTAACTACTTATGTTTTCAACTTTCTCATCTCTACCTTATTTATAGTGATCTATTATCTACCTTAACTGTTTATTTACAATGTTCTCTGGCTTTTGAAAGCAGAATTTAATGCAAATTATTACAATGATACTTCTTGTGAGCTGAATAAAAATTTAAAGTATGGCCTCTCAAACTGGCTTTCTTTACATAATTTTGAAAAGACACCCTCTAGATGAGATTGTCCACGTAATTTTTTACCTTCAATCGAGTTTAGGAAGGCTAATTTAAGGTCTATTTCTTGATGCCTCTGTTCAAAGTCAGATTTTTTATTTTTATTTTTTTTAAGATTTTATTTATTTATTCATGAGACACACACAGAGATAGAGAGGCAGAGGGAGACGCAGGGGGGAGTCTGACATGGGACTGGATTCCGGGTCTCCAGGATCAGGCCCTGGGCTAAAGGCTGCGCTAAATCACTGAGCCACCAGGGCTGCCCTCAAAGTCAGATTTTTTTTTTAAAGACTTATTTATTTATTATTATTCATGATAGAGAGAGAGAGTCAGAGACACAGAAGGAGGGAAAAGCAGGCTCCATGCCTGGAGCGCGATGTGGGACTTGATCCCATGACTCCAGGATCACAACCTGGGCCAAAGGTAGGCGCCAAACCACCAAGCCACCCTGGGATCCCCCAAAGTCAGATTTTTAAATATATTTTATACAGCTGAATGTACCATGACCCCTGAGTTATTTCATACTTATTACTATAATTTCATAAAACATACTTGCACTAAGCAAAATTTGTGAAAATGTTGTTAAAAGATACCCAAAGTGGTAAATGGTACAGATATCATTGTCTGTCTTTTTAAAGTCATGTTGAACCCAGAGAAGAAGCTCTGTCTAAAGGACAACTGATTCCAGGGCATATAGCATTGTATTCCAGATTACAACAGAATGGCCATAGCCCAGTAAAGTCGGGTTTATTGGTTTACTTATTGGTTTATTGTTTTTTAAAGTCTGAATTGCAGATGCTTTTGCCTACCAAGGTGCAAAACAACAGCTTTCAATAATGTATCAATAAAGGTATAGTTTTGGGACGCCTGCATAGCTCAGTATTTGAGCATGGGCCTTTGGCTCAGGGCATGATCCGAGGGTCTGGGGATCTGCAGAGAACCTGCTTCTCCCTCTGCCTGTCCCTGCCTCTATCATTTTATTTTATAAATAAATAAAATCCTTAATAAAAAATTAAAATGAAGGCATAGTTTTCTCACTGGATTTGAATCTAAACTTTCAACATAAACCAAGCGTTATGCTTCCCATTATCTGATGGCTTACAATGCCGAGACTGCAGTATATAAGCATGTGTAGCACAACCTCTCTATATCATTTTAATTTGCCAGTGACAACTTTTTTTATGGTAACTCTAAACTGATTAGTTTCATCTTTCTGTGTAGTTGGAAGCACAAACATCTACTCCCCGGTGATGAACTACCCTGCAGGGGTTTTTCAACTAGTTACAATTAATTTTAAAAAAAATGCAAGCCCTTTTCAATGAGTATGGGGGTGGCTCTGAAAAGAGCCTTTGGTTAAAAGTAACACCTCGATGAATTAAGATTGTATTTTACCACTTTACTTCCCCTTGGCCTTGTGGTGGCTCTCGGTCTTCTTGGGCAGCAGCACGGCCTGGATGTTGGGCAGGACGCCGCCCTGCGCGATGGTCACGCGGCCCAGCAGCTTGTTGAGCTCCTCGTCGTTGCGGATGGCCAGCTGCAGGTGGCGCGGGATGATGCGCGTCTTCTTGTTGTCGCGGGCCGCGTTGCCCGCCAGCTCCAGGATCTCGGCCGTCAGGTACTCCAGCACGGCCGCCAGGTACACCGGCGCGCCCGCCCCGACCCGCTCCGAGTAGTTGCCCTTGCGGAGCAGGCGGTGGACGCGGCCCACCGGGAACTGGAGCCCGGCGCGCGACGAGCGCGTCTTGGCCTTGGCGCGAGCCTTGCCGCCCTGCTTCCCACGTCCCGACATTTTAACAATCTCTAAACCCTTGGGTTACAAAGGGAAAAAGAAATGGAAGCACGAGTCCTTTCCGCAAATGAGAAACAATTATACTTGCAAGCCGAATTGTAAATTAGGCGGTTTCATTGGCTAAAACAATTTTGACGTCTGCACCAATTACAAATCAGAATTAAAGACACGTAATTTCCGTACTAACTTGCAGTTTATTTATTCAATCAGTCTGACTCTTAAAACTTCACTCCCATAGGAGTCATACAAATATTATGAGCGTTGTAAGGAGGGCACATATCTGTAATCTCCGAAGCATAGTTCTTCTGCGTCATGCCCGAGCCCGCCAAGTCCGCGCCGGCCTCGAAGAAGGGCTCCAAGAAGGCGGTGACCAAGGCGCAGAAGAAGGACGGCAAGAAGCGCAAGCGCAGCCGCAAGGAGAGCTATTCTATCTACATCTATAAGCTATCTATCTACATCTACCTGCTGAAGCAGGTGCACCCCGACACGGGCATCTCGTCCAAGGCCATGGGCATCATGAACTCGTTCGTCAACGACATCTTCGAGCGCATCGCGGGCGAGGCGTCGCGCCTGGCGCATTACAACAAGCGCTCGACCATCACGTCCAGGGAGATCCAGACGGCCGTGCGCCTGCTGTTTCCCTTGGGAGCTGGACCTCCAAATAATCCTGACAAAATGTCTTCATATATGTCCCCTAAGACACTTAAGAGCCAGCCAGCTTTTCGGCGTAAGTTGTAATGGCTTTAAGAGTTAATGTAACAGCTGAAGGTGTTTTGCTTTGCTTTGCTGAAAATGTTAGGCTTGCGGTTGTGTGGTGCTAGCAGTTCAAAACATACTTTTTCACTGGTTGTAAGAGAAAGGTAGGAATACAGTTAATGGCAGGATGGATTTCTCTTGTCTCTACTTCCCATTTTGACTACACGCCTGGCTCCGGTGGTACAGAGATGTTTCACTGAAGCTCCTTCCATGTAGTGTCCTTTACACATTGGTTCTATGAAAAGCCAAGAGGGCTTAAGAAATTTGCAGTGCTGTTTTTGTTACTGGTATGTTAGGTTAAAAAGAAACTCGTTTATTTCCAGATTCATGGACTTCTATGCTTAAGGCAATACAATTTGCAAATACTAATGGGATCAAGGCAATGCATGAAAATTGAAAAACAAATCTCGCTGACTACAAGATGGGCTTATTTAATTGTAATGAGAATTTTCCCAAGACTTGTTTAATGATCAGGGAGACCATTGGCAAAATCCCACATTGCAGTAATGATGCTGGCAGTGTGGGAAAGAAATACCTTTTAGAGATATTTTGGTGCCTCTCCCTTAAAATTATTTTCCTCCAGAGTGGATTTTAAATCAGCTTCTTTCTATCTTGGTCAACAAAAATTCTTTTTAAACTAAAAAAAAAAAACAAACAACAACAAAAAAAAAAAAAAACCTCATGTTATTCTGGTAACCTACCACTGCCCTGGCATATGCAAACATATATAACAATAAGGGAAACTTAAACTTTTTTCCATGTAATTAGAAACCTACTTAAAGTTATAAACTCCCATGAATGGTATCCCTCCCACTTGAATTAAATGCTAAGAATGTACATATAAGAAATTTGTACAGATTCAACCCAAATAGGAAAATTACTCTATTCTTGTATAATTTCCTTCATGAATAACAAACTGTCTACTCCCTACACGACACAAATGTGCATGCGCACACACACACGACACACACAAATGACACACAAAGAATATATGCATCTTGAAACAAAACAAAAGCAACAAGGAGAGAAATGTAAAAGAATGAAAAACAGTCTAATTGGTTTTCAAATACCAGATTGCCGTATATGAGAGCTTTTATTGTTATAGCCAATTTTTGCTTTATGTAGTCCCAGAAGTAAATAAATATCTAAACAAGGTATATATGACCTTTCCCGGAGTCCATAAACACCCTGAAAGTACCTATGGTAGTTTGTCCATATGTCTTCCCCCTCGTAGAGCAGAAAGTATATCCTTTTCTATCAAATTCTAAAAACACTATGACCCATTGTGCTGGGCAGAAAACTGCCATCCCGATTATATTTAACTCCTAATTTATAAGGGTCTGAATATGTTAGGTTCCATAACAGAGGGCAATAAATGTTGCAGATGGCACTAAGATTCCTGATTACCTGATTTTTTTAAAGGGAGATTATCCTGAATTATCCATGTGAGCCCTATGTAATCACGTGGATACTTAAAATTGGAAGAGGTCAACTGAATACAGAACCAGAGAGGTAACAGCCCGAGGATTTGGCCAGAGGTCACTGGCATTGAAAATTGAGAAAGGCAGCCCTGTGCCAAGGAAAGATGATAGCCTCCAGGAGCTGGAAAAGGCAAGCGAACAAATTTTCTTTGAAAGACCCCTGAAAAGGCCAAATTCCTGACCCCTTGATTTTAGCTCAGTGAAATCCATACCCAAATGCTGATCTACAGAACTATGAAATTATAAATTTGTACTGATTTAAGCCACTAAATCTGTGATAATCTGTCAGACCAACAATAAGAAATTAATACACCCACATAATTTAGGAATTAGTGATTCTGTATTCAGTGACATTAAGATTACAACTACATGTATGTGTAAATATAAATGTATAAATAGTAGAATTATTATACATGCAAATTCTTCCTAAATAGTGTAGGCTCCCATGATGCTGAAGTATCTATAATTTCGAGAACAGCATTTTATATTTCCTTTTTTTCCTTGGTGTTTAAAATGTCTGGATTTAAAAGCAGCAACTCTTATTTCATGGAGTAACATTTGCCCCACTCATTGTAGTATTACTTCTAATTATAATTCTACTTCAAAATGCCTCCATTTATTATATATAAAGTATGGGAGAAATGGAAAATTATACTCAATGTTCATAAAAAAAAGTGTCAAATGTAAATCCCTCTAAATTGTATATTTGTATTACAAACTGTTGCATTTGTGCATTTTTTTCACAAAAGTACCCATAGTTTATTTTAGAACTTTATTATTTAGTAATATTTAAGAATAGTCTTATTTTATAAAGTGAGGCACAGTGAGCATGAGAACCAAAATTCATTTACATGGCAGAACATTCCCACCAGTTTTCTTTCAAAGATGTCTGGATAGAATTCAAAGACACTTCACATCAGATAGATTTCTCAACACTTTGGTAAGTACTTTTACATAAATTATCTGCTCTCCAGCACTAGGCTATATATCTCATCTCTTTTCTTGGTGCATTCTTTGTTCACTTTCCTAAAGGGTCTTGAGTCAGCCACAAAGAAAGGCTTGGTAAGGCTAGAAGAAACTCCATATCCCATAGGACTGCTGCTGCCCTCAAATTCAATCACTTCTGTATTCTGGAATAAACACATATTTTATATGGTTATCAAAGTGCCTGATGGAAAGAGGAGGTGCAATAAGCAAATGCTTTCAAATGTAGTCAAGACCCTTTTTAAAATCAGCGGAGGCTTGGAGCAACGCCTTACTCAGGAAAATGGAGAACTAGATTTTTTCAATATAGTTTAACTAAAAACTATACAGGTTTTCAGACACTTCAAAGACAAAACTGATGCATCCCAGAGTGGAACAATTTTTAAAGATGCCAAGTGGAACTCACGCTTGTTGGTGAGGTGGGGGGGGGGAGGAAGGAGTGAAAAACCTGGGACTGTGTATTTCATAAAGGGTGGAGGGGGCGGTGAGATTGATCGCTAGTACCAGGCAGGACACAAGACGAAGTGAAGGAGGAGAAAGCCAGAACACCTAACTCCTTTCAAGCCTCCTTACCATTCCCTGGAGAGCCAAGTGGAAAAGGAGTGCCTCGGGCAAGGTTATCATGGACAATATAGGAACTGCATATACTCCGAAACCGAGGGCATGCTTCACCAAGGACGTGGAGACCGTTTGCTTTAATCGATAGTCTCCCAGCAATTTCAGTGCCAAAATGACGCCTAAATGTGAATACTTGTGTTACAAGTCCTTGGGTGAGAATGGAGTGGCTCTGAAAAGAGCCTTTGGGTTTAGGGAAGGAGACGCTTACTTGGCACGTTTACTTGGAGCTGGTGTACTTGGTGACGGCCTTGGTGCCCTCGGACACGGCGTGCTTGGCCAGCTCCCCGGGCAGCAGCAGGCGCACGGCCGTCTGGATCTCCCTGGACGTGATGGTCGAGCGCTTGTTGTAATGCGCCAGGCGCGACGCCTCGCCCGCGATGCGCTCGAAGATGTCGTTGACGAACGAGTTCATGATGCCCATGGCCTTGGACGAGATGCCCGTGTCGGGGTGCACCTGCTTCAGCACCTTGTACACGTACACCGAGTAGCTCTCCTTGCGGCTGCGCTTGCGCTTCTTGCCGTCCTTCTTCTGCGCCTTGGTCACCGCCTTCTTGGAGCCCTTCTTCGGGGCCGGTGCGGACTTGGCGGGCTCGGGCATCTCGATGACGAAGAAATCTAGCAAGAGACAAGAAAAAGTCCTAAAATGTCCGCCTACAAACACAGTGTCTTCTTTTATAGGCCATCTATGCAAATAAGGTATGCAAGAATAGCCAGATCTGATTTGACAATGAATTAGTGACGGGAAATATGTAAATTTGAGTGCGTCACATCTCCTTCCTTATTGGTTGGACAGCCAACGGGACTTGAACCAATCCAAACGCGAGGTTTACACTTCCATCCAGCACTATAACTGGTGTCTTTTGGTTGTTTTGAAGACATTTCTTTAATCGCTCAGTGAGCTCGTTTTCTCAGGTGCCAGGAGCTATGTCGGGACGCGGGAAGCAGGGCGGCAAGGCTCGCGCCAAGGCCAAGACGCGCTCGTCGCGCGCCGGGCTCCAGTTCCCGGTGGGCCGCGTCCACCGCCTGCTCCGCAAGGGCAACTACGCGGAGCGGGTCGGGGCGGGCGCGCCGGTGTACCTGGCGGCCGTGCTGGAGTACCTGACGGCCGAGATCCTGGAGCTGGCGGGCAACGCGGCCCGCGACAACAAGAAGACGCGCATCATCCCGCGCCACCTGCAGCTGGCCATCCGCAACGACGAGGAGCTCAACAAGCTGCTGGGTAAAGTCACCATCGCGCAGGGCGGCGTCCTGCCCAACATCCAGGCCGTGCTGCTGCCCAAGAAGACCGAGAGCCACCACAAGGCCAAGGGCAAGTGAAACTTTACTAACCCAGCAGCCCCTATCCCGTAAATGAAAGGCTCTTTTCAGAGCCACCCATATTTTGTGGAAAGCGCTGGGATACTTAAAAACCCTAGGTGACGTGATTTTTAAAATTTCTCTGTTTAAGAAATGATTCAGTTCTTGTTATGTTCTTGATTCAGTTCTTGTTACGTAGTGGTCATTTCAAGTGTTGAAGGACCTAGCGTAGTGGTGTAAGGTAGGTAAATGACAAAGATGGCAATCGAAACCACGTTGAAATCGTTTAGCTTACATATAAAAACGTTCGTAATTGTGTATGTGGTATATTCAAGTTACGGTCCGAAAGTCTAAAACGTAACAACTGAGGAGGAAAAGAACCATTACCTTTCCAATCACATATATAAGGGCGGGCTTTTTGAGTTTTACGGCCGACTGTATTCTTACTAGACTTTTTCTTTAATATTTATTTATGATAGTCCCACATAGAGAGAGAGAGAGGGGCAAAGAGAGAAGCAGGCTCCATGCACCGGGAGCCCGACGTGGGATTCGATCCTGGGTCTCCAGGATCGCGCCCTGGACCAAAGGCAGGCGCTAAACCGCTGCGCCACCCAGGGATCCTCTTACTAGATATTTTGTGTTCGTTTTCTGGCTTTTTACAAAAAGAGCAATTAAGTACATTCAAATCAACTCTTAAGTGAAACCTCGCTTTTATGACCTCAATTTCAAGTAAACTAGGAATAAATGTAACGAAATAATGTTTCTATATTCAATCCTTCATGGCAATCCAATCATGTCTCAGGAAAGCAACCTGAGAACCAATTAGATAACAGCGCGGGACCTACGAACCCGACTGATCTATAAATAAGGTCAGAACCAGCAGCTGACTGCTTCCGTCAGTTTACGTTTCTGTATGGTTGTCTTGGCTCGCACAAAGCAGACGGCGCGCAAGTCGACGGGCGGCAAGGCCCCGCGCAAGCAGCTGGCCACCAAGGCGGCCCGCAAGAGCGCGCCGGCCACCGGCGGCGTCAAGAAGCCGCACCGCTACCGGCCCGGCACGGTGGCCCTGCGCGAGATCCGGCGCTACCAGAAGTCCACGGAGCTGCTGATCCGCAAGCTGCCGTTCCAGCGCCTGGTGCGCGAGATCGCGCAGGACTTCAAGACCGACCTGCGCTTCCAGAGCTCGGCCGTCATGGCGCTGCAGGAGGCGTGCGAGGCCTACCTGGTGGGGCTCTTCGAGGACACCAACCTCTGCGCCATCCACGCCAAGCGCGTCACCACATCCAGCTGGCGCGGCGTATCCGCGGGGAGAGGGCGTAAACCCCCGCACTTTGAATAAGGCTCTGTTGTAGTACTTTTCTTAAAGCTTCCTTGGTGAAAGGAGTTTATCTTTCAAAAATACTCCGGAACCGTTATTAGATGCATGCACTGATTTGGTAACAGTCCTACTTGGGTTCATAGTAATTGTGTGTAAGGTTATATAATCCATTGTTTAATTGTAGGAAAACGCTTTACTACTGCCAAGATGTCTTTCAAACTGCTTGATAACCGCACAGAATGGCTTTTAGGTACTAAAGGCCAAAAAGCACTGTTGTGAACTCCCTGTTTACATGCAGCCTTCTATCCTTTTGGAGTGAAAGAAAAAGATAACAATTACAATTACTATTATCAGTGGAGTAAAACTAGGGGTTTTAAGTAAAACTCTCCAAGTCATACTTTTTTAATGGATCTCCAATCCACTAGGTAGGCCTCAGCCTAAAAAAGCAAATACAGATCTGATCATTTTTCACATGGAGAAATTGGTCTTTGTGCCATTATGTTATGCATTATCAAAGTATAAAATTCAAAATAATAAGCTGAGTCTCATATAGTGAGTTTTTCTAATACATAGCTCATTAATAAGGGACTATCAGGAAGATAAACTTCGTTCAAAGGAAGAATAGGACATTAAGACTGGATAGTTCAAGGAAGTGAGGGAAACCAGAATAATTACCCCACAGTATTCCTCTTTCACAAAGATTGGGGGTTAAAGGCAGTTAAGCAACAACCACAAGAAAAGCTCCATTTTACACTTTCCATTTTCTGCCTTAAGGCAGGATATGAGTTCTATAAGGGAGACCTCTAGTATCAACAACCCAGAGAGACACCAGAGGAATCTGCAAACCCTACTCTGTTTCCTCCCACATATTTACCTTCCCAGGGTTTTCATCCTTTAAAGCCTAGACCTGGGGATCCCTGGGTGGCGCAGCGGTTTGGCGCCTGCCTTTGGCCCAGGGCGCGATCCTGGAGACCCGGGATCGAATCCCACGTCGGGCTCCCGGTGCATGGAGCCTGCTTCTCCCTCTGCCTGTGTCTCTGCCTCTCTCTCTGTGTGTGTGACTATCATAAAAAAAAAAGTAAGGCTTAGACCTGCCTTCCTTTGTGCCTGTCACTTTATGTATTTATTGTCATTTTGAAGATATTGTATGACACCTCTTTGCAGTTCTAAGGCACCTCCCAGGGTTTCTCCCATGTATATATGAAATATACATGTTAATAAACTTGATTGCTTTTCTCCTACTAATCTGTATTTTGTAACAGAGGCCCCAGCCAAGAACCAAAAGGGATGGAGGGAAAATTTCCCTCCCCTCCAAAGATTGGAATAAAACAAAAAGAGCAAATTTAGATCAAAAAGTGTTATGGTGCTATGGCATAATTATAATCTCTAGACAATCTTTTCTACTGACAGAATTTCTATCTGCAATGGACAAAAATCACTGGAATTATCAACATGCTACAAATTATCTAAATTCAGATTTTTCAGATACTAGACCCTAATAAACAGTCAAACAGAAGCACATTCTCGTAAAATAAATTCAAAACACTTGGGCAGGCCCTTTAGGCTTTGCTGTATGTGGCGATGTGTGCAGTCTATCCCTTTAATATGGGTATTTCTTAGCAAGTTTCAGAGCTGCCCTAGTCTGGGACCTTGTCCTCAGTGTCTGCATGCCTGATGGAGACTTGGCTTTCCCATCTGCACTTTCAACCTTCCTGCTCACCAATGATTTGCCATGCCACAGTGGGCCTAATGTTGAATTTCCCAGGCCTACAGAAGTAGAGAGGATCAGCAGCTCTATGACACTCTGTTCATGTCCAATCAAGTCAAAGTCCCATAACATCACTAGTTCATCTTTTCTCAAAAAGGTGAAATTACAATTCAGAAAATATAAAATAAACATGTTGACAAAGAGTTTACTTAAACCATCATTGACAGAAAAAGATAAAATACTCTGATAGTTCAAAGAATATTTAAGAAATTAGGGCACTTATAAATAACTTAACACAGAGATATTGGAATAGGATTGTTGAATGAGGTTAAAACAAAATTAGTAATGTCCAAGAGACCATAAACCTTTAGAGATAGAGCTGTTACACCTGACAAAAATTATTTGCATCTCTACCAAATTAACCCCTGCTAAATTTGCTACATTCATTCAATAGCAAACAGTGAGATGATCAAAGTTCATTGTCCTTTGTGTGGTCTTTAACCTTTTATGATATTAAGCATTATGGCCTATTCTTTTTTCCTTACTTCCAAATCTCAGAAACTGTGTCTCATACTGTGAATCCTGCTGGAAAAAAATTAAAATACAGAACCTGCAAGATAAATTGTTATGAAACTTCATGATGTGCTTCCTTGACATTCTTCCTATACTCATTGACCAAATAGTATACACTGTAACTGAATTGACCTGATTTTCTTATCTGTCTCTTTCGGTCTTTACCTGGACGCCAGAAACAGCAAACCATTCCCTTCCTATCCATGAAATGCTTTTGCACTTCATCAGCGATTAACTTTGCTTAAAAAAAAAAAAAAAAAACAGACTATACATTCTCTGGACAAAAGTTCAAGCAATTTTTGACTATTATTGGGTTATAAACATTTTTGGATGCCCTCTCTTAACAAAATATACTTTCAAGAAAAAAAAAAAGGAATGTTAGCCCAGATCTTCAAGATGTCTCCAGCTCCTGATACCCTGCCCTTGAAGAATTCTAAGGACAATTTTTCTAGCTAGCTATCTTTTCTTGCTTTGATGAGTAATGTTTTCTTTGACAAGCCTCCCTTTGTTCCCTAATGTCATTTCATTTTGTTCTTTTTAAAATTTTTTATACAATGTTTCGTTTTAGTTTGGAGCCAGTCTCTGTCACTGGATTTGTTAGAAATATAGATGGTTCTTGAACAAAGGTCAGGGGCGCTGATTCTCTGCACAGTTGAAAATCTGGGTGTAACTTTTGACTTCCCCAAACCTAACTGCTAATACCCTACGATTGAGCAGAATCCTTACAGATGACATAAACACTTGATAAACACATATTTTGTATATGCTATGTATTACATACTGTATTCTTATAATAAAGGAAGCTTGAGACAAAAAATGTTATTGCACATTGCTGTACACTGTTTATTAAAAAACAATCTATATATAAGTGGGTCCACGCAGTTCAAACTCCTGTTGTTCAAAGGTCAACTTTACATTGAAGGTCCACCATATCCCAAAGCCCATGTCAGCAAAGTTTGGGAAAAAATCAAGTAACAGCGAGAGGAAAGGAAGAACCCTGGAGCAGCACCATCTATAAAAAATAATGCAAAACACATACATCATTTAAAAATTTTCAGTAACCACGTTTTAAAAAGTGAAAAGATGCCATTATTTTAATAATATATTTTATATAATCCAAAGAATCCAAAATATCTTTGTTTCAATATGTAATGCAATATTAAATATTAATGCAATATTTACATTCCTTTTTTCATCCTAAATCCTCTAAATGGGGTGTCTATTTCATTCAATCTGATACTAAATTTTTATTGTAGAAAACTTGATTTGCATTTCAATATCATAAAATGTACTGTGGAAAATTTAGGTTCACATGCACAAGCTCTTCAAACACATCCCAATTTTTCCAATAACTGAACAGAGTAATTGCTTTTAAATATAAGTTGTTTTACAAGAAAATTAAAAATGCAGCCCCTCCCAACATCAACCTCTCTCCCAGTGCTCAAAAGTGGGTCCAGATCACTATCAGACACTGCAATTCTTTTTTTTTTTTTTTTTTTTTTTTTTTTGGAGGAAGGCGCTCTCCAGGTTTATTACTGTTGGGTCAGCACCTTAAGAGTCTACATGGGTGCATACATTACAGACTAGAATCTGTTCCCCAAAAAGGCTATTTATATCAATCCCGTTTTTTACTTAAAAAGGAAAAAAAAAAAAAAAAACCCTAGCAACACATACATTCTAGAAATTAAGCAACGGACAATGAGCTAGCTGGACATGAACTGGATGGGGGCCTTCAAGGAGGTCTGTAGAGACAGAGGGGGCACCCCTCGGTCTACAGGTTCAGGGCCCACAGTGGCCACCAAGCCCAGCACTCAGGTTCACACAGGAGACATGTTTCCCCTCCTCTCCAGACAGAGGCCAGGTCTGGAAGGAGGCATGGGACAGGCATAGGAGCTCAGGCAGCTACCCCACAGATATAAGTGGCCCTGTCTCCTAATGTGGAACCTGCTCCAGGACAAAGGCCAGACCCCAGAGAGGAGTCCAATCTTCCCATCTGGGGGCGAGGATAGTGCAACAAGGCCATCCTTTTTTTTTTTTTTTTTTTTTTTTTTTTTAATTTATGATAGTCACAGAGAGAGAGAGAGAGAGGCATAGGCAGAGAGAGAAGCAGGCTCCATACACCGGGAGCCCAATGTGGGATTCGATCCTAGGTCTCCAGGATCGCGCCCTGGGCCAAAGGCAAGCGCCAAACCGCTGCACCACCCAGGGATCCCAACAAGGCCATCCTTGGCCACTCCCTGAGCTGCAGCCATGACACTGACTCAGGACACTAGCCGGCCTGCCCTGAGGAGACACTGACCCAGGGGACAACATGGGAGGAGGCAACAGTGGGCCACCTCCTGGCCTGGGCCTTGTCCAATGGTAAGGGGTGGCATGACCTGAGTCCTAGTTCCATCTGGTCACCCAGTGGGCTGAGAACCCTTGCTCTGAGGGGGCTGCTTCTGCCTGGGACCCACCTAACTCACACCCCCACGCCATCCTCCACACGCTGGCAGCTGCATCGGCTCAGCCACAGATGGTTTTCAGTCTGTATCATCTTCCTTGGAGGAAGTGCTTTTACATGGATCCTCAGAACAGCTCCATGAGGTAGGCAAGGGAAATGTGCCCGTTCTTGGTTAGCCATTGGGGAAACTGAGGCACGGGGATGAGCTCAGACCAGGTGTCTGAGGGAGTCATGGTGGCTGGGGCTATGTGCATGACCTCATGGGCCTAGGGATGGTGTGGCGGGTGAGCCCTTGTGGCTCTTAGGAACAGGACAGACTGCAGCTGGGGTCTCTGCACATTCTCCCCGCGAAGGTATGAGGACATAGCTATGGAAGTGGATGGGAGGGAAGAGGTGGGATGGTCCCAGGAGACGGGGCACCCACAGCCAGGGTAGACTTGACTGTTCCCCCTTTGGTCTCTTCCTAGAAGTCAGTTCTGCAGCTACAAAGCTACTTTAAGAGCCTCCATCCTGCTGAGTATGACTCTGGAAAGAACCTTGTGGAGTAGTGACCAAGGCCCTGAGGCCCAGTAGTGGTCAGACAATGCAATTCCAGAAGGAATTATGTTTGTGACATGAAGGTGGTGATGGAGATTGCTGGTTAAATTGGGAAAGTGTACAAATTTAAATGTAACCAAGTAAATTTAGAATTGACCCCTAAACTCAAAGATTTTCACTTTCAAAGATATAGAGGTCATAAAAAATAATAAAAATTGAATATAAATCCATATTGCAAAATACAACATTGAGAGATTTAAGGAAGGAAGCCAATTCCTGGGCATGAAGACAGAATTTCCACAGGCAAGGTAGTTGTCACACATTACACACCAGACCAAAGAGTTATCTTTTGATTTTCAAACTGCTTTTCTGATGTCGGGATTCACATTTCCATTCTACAGAAGAACAAACTAAAGCATAAATGAGAGATTCTCAAGGCACAATACAGGTCTACAGGTCGTAGCCCCTAGAAGGTGAAGCGTAGGGAGAGTACAGCGCTCAAGCCCCAGGGCCAGTCCTCCGCAGAAACAGCTCCCATCCGGGTGTCCCTGTGCCGCTGGGGATTTGAGTTCTTTTCTCACTCTAGGAGACCATCATGCCAGCAACCCTATCATACTTTGATTTAAAGTGTACAAACAGGGGCTGTCTCAGTTGATGGTCAGGAATTAAGCTACCACTTACCTGGGTCACTCACAATGGAAGAAATGGAGAAGACTGATATCCAGCTACAGAGACCTATAAAGACAGAGTAGAACACCCAGTGTGTCCTGTTCACCTATTTCCAAGGAGACATGGGCAGCGTAGTGGATGAACATTTCTCCAGAGCTCTGAGCAATGTCAAGAGCCCCCAAGGATTGAGTACCTTGAGCCAGGGCACAGACGTTGATCCTGAGTAATGATAGTGACATGCCTCCAAACCAGTGGTGTTTCTCATCTCAGTGGACAAAGCCAGAGCCAGAGCCAGAAGCTTCTTTTGCATATGGTGCCATCAACTGCAGCTTGAGTGGGCCCAGTTCAAGAGGCCATACTGACTATGGATCAGTACCCAGCGTCCCTGACCGGGACCCCCCCCCCCCCATTTGAATCTGACTAGCCATGGCACTACCCCTCCCTAGCCAGCCCCAGCACTTCAAAGCCTGTCTACTCTCAGGTCTACTCCGGTGGGCACGTGATCTCAGAGCCCCAGCCCAATGGGAATGATAAGCCCTTCCTAAGTCTCCTCCAGCAAGAATAACACCTAGCCCATCCTCAGGAGTCTGCAGTGTGGGAGAATTACAACTCTGCCCAGATAGCCAGAAGCACAGGATTGCATCCCAGCTCAGCCCACTATAAGAAAATATATTTTGCCACAGATGGTGGACCTGCCAGTGCCAACCTTGCAAGTGAAAAAAGTCAGTCTCCAGAGAGAAGAGATGTGTTCTTTTATTGAACCTCAGTCCAAAGAAGAGAATTTTTTTTCCAAACCTGCTCATGATTTTCTGTGAATCTAGAGGGTCTAGAGACTGCACCACCTTTTTCTCTTTCTGGTTCTAAAGAGCATTGCGCCAGGAACAAGTTGCTGTTCTCCCTAAAATTCTACACATTTCTTCCCTGGCACCTGTGCCCTGTGGCAGGAGTTTTTCAAACATCAGTGACCCCTCAGCATATGAAATAGTTAAAAGAGCAGTTCAGTGATGGGAACTCTTAGAGGGCCTCCTGCTTGCTTATCCCGCCTTTCCTGTACCGGCTGCCTCCCTACTTATAAATCAGTCCCCTTACCCCCTACCAGCAGAGTCTTTCAGACCGAAACTGATGATGTGGTGTCCTATGGGCTTGTCCCACTTTGCCAACTGAATGGAGGACATACCAGCAACAGCCTGAAGCTTTCTAGCCTGAACCCAGACTGTGGCAGGCTGCACCCCTGCCTCTACCAAAGGCAAAATGAGAATAGAGGTGGACAAGACCCACTGAGGAAATTGAGGCTGGGCATTTCCTTCCAGCATCCTCGGAGTCTGGAAGGAAGCTGAAAAGGTTCTCATGAAGTACTTTCACTAGGAATGTTTGATTCTTCAGTTCTGAAAAAGAGATTCCAAATAGAGTTGCTGAGAAACCTGAAAACTGACACTGGAAGTTAGGGAACACACTGCCCGGTCCCAAGCTGGGCCTAGACAGTTCTGTGCAAAGAGCATCTCTTAGCTGCGGATCCAACTGCTTTCTGCCCTCCCTATGAGGATGAGGACTCTGGCATCTGACCCCCCCACAGGTGTTTATCTGGACCTTGGTGACATGTTACTGGCTTCTACAGACAATGAAGCCTGACCCTTAGCTCTTTCATTGTTAGTGACATCTGGGAGCCATTAGCTCTCTTTTCGGCACAGAGCCATTGGGGCCACCCGAGTGGGTACCCACAGCATCTTAGACAAACTGAAGGTGAAAGAAAGGCTTAGTCCAAGACGTGGTGGCAGGACCTCCCTACAGATTGTTCCAGATCAAATGACAAATTTCTTCAAACTCCCTCATGTAGTCGATAGCCTTGTGGCCAGCGTGAGCTTGGCACTTAGCCTGTGACAACCAAGAAGCCCCTGCCGGCAGTGTTGTCTGTCCACACAGCACCCCCTACTTGCTCCTGTGAAATAGCTCGGAGAGTGAATAAACAATAAAACTACTTTTTTGGATTTAAATAAATAAATAAATAAATAAATAAATAAATAAATAAATAAATAAATAAATAAAATGTACAAACAGGATTCAGGAGGAGGAGAGAAGCCCAACACTCAACTACATTTCAGGCACGCGTTTAGGATTCAAAGCGAGGTAGAATTTGGTACACGCCGAGTCCACCGTCGAGGCCACGGCGCACTAGGATCCTAACAGTTCAAACCTCAGAAGCAGATGCCAGCTTGAGAGGTGCCATTATTTCAGTCCCGTAATAAACTGGATTTTCCTTACACGCCCTTAGAGAGAGCTTGTTTCGGAGAATTCAGGGGAGAAAAAGGGACTCAAGGCAGGATTCCCTCCGCCCAGAAGGGTGGACCGACTCGCGCGCAATGTGGGCGGAACCAACTCCGGGCCCGCGGTCCGGGCCCCGCCTCCTTGGTAGTTCTCAATTAGGTCCGCCACCGGGCTATAAATGAGAAGGTCGTTCGTCCGCCCGCACATTCTCTCCTTTGGTTCCACTTTGACTTGGCCGGGATGTCAGGCAGAGGCAAGGGCGGGAAGGGTTTGGGCAAAGGCGGCGCCAAGCGCCACCGCAAGGTGCTGCGCGACAACATCCAGGGCATCACCAAGCCCGCCATCCGGCGGCTGGCCCGGCGCGGCGGCGTCAAGCGCATCTCGGGCCTCATCTACGAGGAGACCCGCGGGGTGCTCAAGGTGTTCCTGGAGAACGTGATCCGGGACGCCGTCACCTACACGGAGCACGCCAAGCGCAAGACGGTCACGGCCATGGACGTGGTCTACGCGCTCAAGCGCCAGGGCCGCACCCTCTACGGCTTCGGCGGCTAAGACCTTTCCCACAATCTCGACTTCTGCGAAAATTCTAAAGGCCCTTCTCAGGGCCACACAATCTACTCCTTTGAAAGAGCTGGTGACATTGGTGTATTTGTATTCTGCTTCCTTAACGCCCTCTCCAGAAAGGAATGGAAGGTTTTCTGGTTGTATTCAATGTGTTCTTAAAGTTTTATTTGAGGCAGAACCCTGGGAAGACGGAGAAGGTTCCTCCCTAAACGGAGCGTGATGCGCGACTCTGTCCCAGGACCTCGGGATCACAACAACCCTAAGCCAAAGAAAGGCAAGATGCCCAACCGCTGAGCCATCCCGGTGCCCACAGAAAGTTTGTTTTCAATATAATCTGCCTCCTACTACCGGAATGCATTAAATGTTAATGCAGCAATTCAAATGAGTTTCACACCAATGGGGTAGATTTTTTAAATCCGTTCCTGGTTTTGTAATTCTTTACTAGCCTACACAACTCAAAAAATTTGTTAAATTTGAACTGATCAGCCAGTAGTTGTGTGTAACTAGAGAGGGTTCAATGAAAAGCCGATTGAACTCTTAAAAACTGAACGCACCGATAAGCAGGCCTAGGTGGTACATGGGGGACTTCTCTCCCCGATAAAGTATTTGTTTGGATCATGTAAACTGATTACCAATGACGTATTTTTAAGCCACAAAGATTTGGGGGTTTGCTATACCGTGTTACATATTCCCGATATCCTATAATAAAAGCAACAATGTCTCACAAACCCTCTGGTTTCTCAGCTTTAAAGCCAGAGGGGCATACGACGGCTCCAAGCCTTCAACCACACAATGTTTTCTCATGTGTCAGTATTTGCAAATGAAAGGGGGGAGAAGGATCCTCCAAAGTAATAACCAGGCAAATTATTTTCTGCTTCCTGGCTTCACAGGAACGTCACTGGCAGGAGCTTATTTAAAAGCACTTGAACATGTTTGTAGCCTTTCTCCTTACTTCTAAGAAACAGTTCTTGCCTGAAAGCAAATTGAACCAGAGTAATGTAGCCTGGGGAAGGAGGGAACCGTTATTTTAACTTTTTTCGGGTTCTTAGGTGCCTTTTATTTTTCCTGATGGGTCCCTGTGCTTATGGCCTGAGGGTGACCAGCGTTCCCCCTCCTGGTATTCACCCTTCTGTGAAATAGCTCCCTTGAGCGTGGACATGACCTCTGACTTGTTTCTAGTCTGAGAGTACTCCAGAGGCGACAGGATGTAATTTTCTTTTTTTATTATTATTATTTTTAAGATTTTATTTATTTATTCATAGAGATGCAGAGAGAGAGAGAGAGAGAGAGAGAGAGAGAGAGAGGCAGAGACACAGGCAGAGGGAGAAGCAGGCTCCATGCAGAGAGCCTGACGTGGGACTCGATTCCAGGACTCCAGGATCATGCCCTGGGCTGCAGGCGGCGCTAAACCGCTTCGCCACCGGGGCTGCCCAGGATGTAATTTTCTGCATATGATTAGGTTATCTGACCTGTTAAGTCTATTAAGTAACGTGTCTTCCTCAACTCTTGCATGCGAACTTTGATACACCAAATATCCATGCTGGCAGGCCCAAAGGACAAGAAACTGCGGGGGGACTCTTTAGGAAGTGAGGGAGGCCTCCATCTAACTGCCTACAAGCCTTGAAGCCAACAGCCAGCAAGAAAGTGGAAATGGAAGTTCCAAGAACTGTCTGCCTAGATGCTACAGGACTCAAAATGTCTCCCAACCCAGTGCTCCTCATGTATTACTTTTATAACCAGAAAAATAAACACTAGAAAAAACACCGAAAGAAAGAAAAGTGCAACCCTCAGCGCTACAACCACAAGGAAAATTCAACCACCCAGTGGGTTTGTAAGATATTTCCCCAGTCAAGCATCTAAGAAAACTCTATCCTAGCTAACAGCTCAATAACATCCTTATATAGGATTCAGCAAAACCATGCCCAGATCCACAGAAACTGTCACATAACACTTGCGCTGTTTGAGGCTAGTAAATTCAAGGTAATGTATTAGCAGCAATACATAACTAATACACTTAGCCAACACACTCAACTCAGCATTTTCAGCAAAATGTGTCCCATCTAAATGAACAGATGAAATGAACTGAAAATGCCATCTCTTTCTAATGGAAGACATATATTTGAAAAAAGGAAAAAAGGGGTGAGGGAGAAACCCTATAGTGGCAACATTCCCTTTCACCACTATGTAACCCTTCATGCATACCCCAAACACTGAGCTACAAAATTCATGTGTTACAGTCCTCCGTTACCAAGCCTATAAATCCTTACCTGGACTTTCAGCAACACGAAAACAAACGGTCTACTTTTAAATAACTACCACACGAAACCTCTTGATGTCCTTAAGTTGTGGGATTGGTGCATATCAAGATCTTTTCTTACTCTTATATTTTTGGCTTTGTTTTACTTTTCTTTTTTTCTAAGCGAATACAGAAGTAAATACTGAAGGCAAGAAAAAATATAAAAGTAACTCAAATCAGAGTTTAGTTTACATGTTTAGCAAACATGCTATACAGTTGATTACATCAGTAACAGAAAGGCAAAATAAGGATAAAAACATTTTATTGCAAACTTGCAGAATTATCTTTGAAACAGTCTACATCAGTAGCTAACATTAAATTCTGGGGTCCAGTAATTCCCCAGGCTTAGTTCAGTTTCTACAATAAGACTAAAATTGAAACTTGGTGTCCATTGTAACAACAACAAAAAAAAGGCATTGGACGACTTAATCTTTATGAAACCTATATTGTTATCAAGTAGGAATTGTATTTAAAGCAATAATCCAACATGTAGCTTAAGCATAGGCAACTTTAAAATCCAGGCAGCACTCTACAAAACAATTTAAAATCTCGATTAGATGAAAGAGTACAAATTAAAGACTTAATGAACAGACACCAAAACCAGACTTTTACACCTTTAGCGATGCTTCTACTGTAATCATTTCACCAAACTTACGCATAATACTAAAGTGTGCTGTAAACACCTGTTACTAAAACTCTCAATTTGCAAAATGTGAGTAGCTCTTAAAAGAGCCTTTAAGTAAAGCAAAACGTAGGAAAACATATACTTGGCGCTGGTGTACTTGGTGACGGCCTTGGTGCCCTCGGACACGGCGTGCTTGGCCAGCTCCCCGGGCAGCAGCAGGCGCACGGCCGTCTGGATCTCCCTGGACGTGATGGTCGAGCGCTTGTTGTAATGCGCCAGGCGCGACGCCTCGCCCGCGATGCGCTCGAAGATGTCGTTGACGAACGAGTTCATGATGCCCATGGCCTTGGACGAGATGCCCGTGTCGGGGTGCACCTGCTTCAGCACCTTGTACACGTAGATGGAATCGGTTTTTAAGACGTCGTTTGCGCCTCTTGCCATCTTTCTTCTGCGCCTTAGTCACCGCCTTCCTGGAGCCCTTTTTGGGGACCGGCGCGTACTTGGCGGGGTCGGGGATGATAATGACAAGACTACAAAAATTAGGACCCACAGGAAGAACGGGAGAAGGAAAAAATCCAGAGATTTATAGCAAATACATGCAAAAGAAGGCTCAAAAAATCTGAATTCTCATTGGACAAAAACTGACCAATAGATTAATAGTATGTAAATCGCGAGTTCCAAATCTGCGTTTTTATTGGACAAATCAACGAATGCTTTCAGGACTCCAATAGGTTGATTTGCAATACGGCTACATTACTATAAGTACATTCACTTAAAAAAAAAAAAAAACGCACGCAACTCCCAATAAAACCGTATTTTTAACTTAGAGTAGAAACCTTCAGATTTGAACGCGAAAACCAAGGAAGGAAGTCCTATTATCTAGCCCAGTCCAGTGGTGATTTTAGCTTCTTCGGGCTTATGACAAATTGCCCAGGAATCCTCGGGTCTCTTCCGGCAAGAATCCCGAGAGGCTGGACCATTGCTATTTAAAAAAATCAAGACACTCGATCGTCGCCATCTTTCCCAAGATTCCGCCTCGCAAACCTTTTCCCCAGAACTCTCGCCATTACACCCCGGCTGACTTTTTTAATTGATCAAAACCAAACCGCGTAGTCCGAAAACCAACTTGAGTTAAAACCGATACTGAAGAGCCGGGGGCTCCAGGATATTGCAACTTTAAAACGTGAAGCCTAAAATAAATCTTTTGCGTTTTAACATTATGTCCTAGGAGATCATACTACAGTGCACTAGATACTTGCTCTAAACATAACGAAAGAGAACTCATGAGATGCTTAGATAGTGGAATTTGCAAATAGGTAAGGACCGGAAATACCACGCAGATGAAAAGGAGTTAACTTCAGGAAACGGCGTACATGTGTTAAAGAGAAATCCTAAACCACTTTCTCTTCCGAATAGACTGTCTTATCTATCCACACAGGAGAAAACTCCAAAATTCTTATTAGCTATAATTAACGAGTTGTGAAGCATCACAAATGAAACGGATAACAAGTTTTTTTTTCAAGGGGGGGTGGGGTGGGAAAATATCTGCTAATTGAAATCAACCAATCAGAAACGTGCACGGAAGAGCCGCACCCCTGCAGCATCCCTCCACAGGCTCGGAGTCGAGCAACGGTTTGCTAAGTGGAATTGCCTATTATCCAATCAGAGTGGTTCTTTTCCTGTATAAAGAGAGGGATGAGCCCATTCTGCGGTTTCTTTGCGTTGCAGCTAAGCCATGGCTCGCACAAAGCAGACAGCGCGCAAGTCGACGGGCGGCAAGGCCCCGCGCAAGCAGCTGGCCACCAAGGCGGCCCGCAAGAGCGCGCCGGCCACCGGCGGCGTCAAGAAGCCGCACCGCTACCGGCCCGGCACGGTGGCCCTGCGCGAGATCCGGCGCTACCAGAAGTCCACGGAGCTGCTGATCCGCAAGCTGCCGTTCCAGCGCCTGGTGCGCGAGATCGCGCAGGACTTCAAGACCGACCTGCGCTTCCAGAGCTCGGCCGTCATGGCGCTGCAGGAGGCGTGCGAGGCCTACCTGGTGGGGCTCTTCGAGGACACCAACCTCTGCGCCATCCACGCCAAGCGCGTCACCATCATGCCCAAGGACATCCAGCTGGCGCGCCGCATTCGCGGGGAGAGGGCTTAAAGCCTAATTTCCTAATTCGATTCCAGCTTTGAACCCAAAGGCTCTTTTCAGAGCCAACCACCTTATCTTTGATAGAGGCCGTGACACTCCCCGAAGTCCGGTTCTAGTTTATGATGACAAAGTCTTAGTAACTCGGAGAATTAAGCTCTTAAGACCAAGAATGTTCTAACCTGGGTTTTTGAAACCGTATTACCTGCAGTTTTCTTCCTAAACCTAGTTTTTCAACGCAGGTGAGACATTTAGGTTTTGGATTTCTGCTTTACTTTCTTTATTCTTTTGGAATGGCTGGATGCACCTTTTGAGTTGGGTCGTGCAGCCTACGGGCTCTTCGAATTTCACTTAACGCTGCTCCACGGATTGGCCCATTGTGGCTTCTGGAGGCTAGATAGCCTTCGTTTGAGCCGCCTTCAAGGCTGAATTCTTTCCCAGAGTTAAGACTTTTTCAGCTTGCCACTACCCCAAGGGGCCATCGCTTGGTCTGCACTTTTTCAACAATCCGAGAGCCCAACTCCCTAGGAAGCAGCAGAACCTTGAGGGTGATCAAGGGTATGTTCCTAAACCTCTTACAGGGAGCCACGTCTTCGGTTATGAGCTGAAACACTGAAAGTTTCTCTTTTTTTTTTTTAATTTCTTTATTATTATTTATTTATGATAGTCACAGAGACAGAGAGAGAGGCAGAGACACAGGCAGAGGGAGAAGCAGGCTCCATGCACCGGGAGCCTGACGTGGGACTCGATCCCTGGTCTCCAGGATCGCGCCCTGGGCCAAAGGCAGGCGCTAAACCGCTGCACCACCCAGGGATCCCTGAAACACTGAAAGTTTCTAAGACAACAGCTCTTCCTGCGGACTCCTTTGCGTCTCTACAACAGACTAAGCAACCAACATGAGAAAGTTATCTCTGGGAATGCGGAATGCAGGAATTAGGATCCTTTTTTAAGATGTTACTTGTAGTAATCTGTACACCCAAAGTGGGGCTGGAATTTACTACCTGACATCAAGAGTCCCATCCTCTACCAACTGAGCCAGCCAGCTGCCCCTTAATTAACACTCTTTAAAAAGTCTATTTCAGGTTTCCTAAATTCTCTATCTTAATCTAAATTAAATTTCATGAGAGTACCTTCTATTTGTCAATAAAACATGACAATCCTTTGGAAGCTGGATAGTTTTCTAGCAGAAAATATTTTGTTCTCTTCTATCCCTGTAAGAAAACGGTTTTGGGACGCCTGGGTGGCTCAGCGGTTGAGTGCCTGCCTTCAGCCCAGGGTGTGATCCTGTAGTCCCAGAATCTAGTCCCAAAACAGGCTCCCTGCGTGGAGCCTGCTTCTCCTTCTGCCTGTGTCTTCTGCCTCTCTGTCTCTCATGAATAAATAAGTAAAATATTTTTAAAAAAAGAAAAAAAGACTTTATGTTATTACTTATGAAACATATTCCCTTCTGATGGTAATAACAGGTTCCTTAGTTCCTAAACTGGTAGCCCAATGGAAGAGAAACCAGGAATTCTGTTCTGAAACCATTCAGGCAGTTATTTGGAAATGTAGGAGGATGTTTCCTAATTAGGATACTGTATACTATTTGGAAGGATTTCATCTGTTTGAATGCTTCTGCAGATCTGAGTTTGTAGATGGGAGAAGGTATACTTAACTACGGAATTAAGAGGCTTCTATCAAAAAAAAATTTTAATGGGCTGTTTCCCCTCAAAAGATTAAGGAAAAAGATTAGTCAGGTGGTACATTTAAGAGGGACAAAGCTGTAAATAAAGTACACAAGTCATAGTTAGAAGTCCTGGAGATTTTATAGAAAACATTTTTGTTCTTGCAACTCTATCAGGCATTGGAGACTTGGGGAGTTGGGAATAGGGAACCCTGGGTCCATATGGAGAAAAGTTTCACAATCCATAACTAAAATCACTTGAGTGTTGGATATTTGCCATGCTGGATAAAGGCATTCCTATTAGACTGTGATTTTCTATATCCTGTACCTTCTTTGAGTTTCTAGCACAGTAAGTTTTTTAATATGTATTTCTATCTCACCAGATGTTGGTTGTCAAGACATGACATATTGAGCACAGAAAACATTTTGTCTTATTAAATCCATCAGAATATCTAGAATGGTCCTTTGCCTAAAACAAAGGCTCAGAAAATTTTTTAGTTAAATTAGAATCTAAAATAAAAAATTATTGGACAAACATTATTGATTAGTGCACTCCTGACTACAGAAATAAAAGATTGATAGAGTTTGTGTAATTTTAATAGATCTTTCTCCAAAGGAGAAATAAATTTATTGAGTGGGTCACAATGGGCCAGAAGTCAGGTATAAGACTCCAAAATATAAGGAAAGTTCAATCATGATCTACTAGTATTATCCATTATATACAATTATTATTCTATTAGTGCTTTTACAGGTAAGGAAACTAAAAGTAGGAGAGTTTCAGACAATGAAGAGTTGAGCCACAACTTTCCCACTATGCATTACTACGTTAAACAACAGCATTAACATAATACTCATCACTTATCCCTGAGGGCTTTATTCCTAGGAAAAGCTGTCAGAGAAAGACTGGCATGTTTAGTTCTTTCAAATCTGTTGAGAAAATGGAATGGTTTTGAAAATTTACAGGGTCTTATATGATTGTGACGTTCTATTATACTATTATGCTTACAGCCAGTTGCACATAGATATAACCAATTCACAAGAATAAAAACAACATGACTATGGAAAATTGTTAGCCTTTCTGCCCACTATACAAACAGTACTCTTCATATTTAAACACATACACACAAAAAATATTTTATTTTAATTTTTAAAGGTATACATTAAAATGGTAGCATTTGTTATCAAATGTTTTAAAGTATTTTTTTATTTTGTTGGAGAAGGATCACAAATATGACTCAGGTCACATTTAATAGGCACCTACTGGTATGATAGGTTGTATATCCATTTCTGGCTTACATGATTTCCTTTAACTATGTATCATTTTGTTTAAATGTATAATCTCTGAATGACCAGGAACTTTCTCTTATGGCAATGACAACTAAAAATCAACACAATTCAGAAATTCCATTTCATTCTTCATAGCCTTCCTACCCCATCTGCCCACAGATAGATACCAATATTTTATATCAGACTTTTTTTACCATAAAAGTGTTATAAATATTTTGTTTTCTTTTTGCAGTAGCCCTAACAAGTTAGGCAGCATACTTCAAAAAGTATCGGAGATAATGGATAAGTCTAGCCAAGGGGAAGAGGGTCATACAAGGGGCAGAGAGATTTATTACTCTTGGCTTAACACATAGAAAAACAAAATTACCAAATATGATAATATCTAGGGGTAATATCATCCACTGGACAGGATTAAAAACTCAGTCCATTCTAATATCACCTCACACCTGTCAAAACAGCTAAAAACAAAATCACAGGAAACAACAGGCATTGGCAAGGATGTGCAGAAAAAGGAACCCTTGTGTACTGTTGCAGGGAATACAAACTGGTGCAGCCACTGTGGAAAACACTACAGAGGTTCCCTAAAAAATTAAAAATAGAACCACCCAAAGACCCAAAAAATCACATTACCCAGTATTTATCCAAAGAATGCAAAAACAGTAACTCAGAGGGATGCATGCACCCCTATGTTTATTTCAGCATAATTTTTCTTTTTTTTTTTTAAGATTTTATTTATTTCACAGAGAGAGAAAGAGATAGAGCACAAGTAGGCAGAGAGGCAGGCAGAGCAACAGGGAGAAGCAGATTCCACCACTGAGCAGGTAGCCAGATTCAGAACTCAATCCCAGGGTTTTGGGATCATGACCTGAGCAGAAGGCTGTCTCTTAACCGACTGGACCATCCAGGCACCTTTGCAGCATTATTGACAACAGTCAAATTATGGAAGCAGCACAAGTGTCCATCATCAACTGATGAATGCATAAAGAAGAGGTGGTATATATACACAATGGAATATTATTCAGTCATAAAAAAAGAATGAAATCTTGCCATCCGCAACAACTTGGATGGAGCTAGAGAGTATAATGCCCAGCAAAATAAGTCAGACAAAGAAAAAGAAATACCATATGATTTCACTCATATGTGGAATATAAGAAACAAAACAAATGAGCAAAGGGGGAAAAAGAGAGACAAAGGGAGAGAAAGAGAGAGACAATCCAAGAAACAGATTCTTTCTCTAGAGAACTGATGGTTACCAGACGGGAGGTGGGTGGGGCAAGGAGAGAAACAGGGGATGAGGATTAAAAAGTACGTATTGTGATGGGGGGAGGAGCGGGGGTACCCTCAGTCAATTAAAAACACATACTTAAGGTCAGAGAAAACAAGAGAGATGAATAACACCCCAAAGTATAGTTAGTGAGAAAAAAGAATAGGAGCATTATACATTTGCCAGTGATACTAATTGCACCCAGTTAATAAATATCATCAAAGCACAATATGAGAAGATTTTTAAATCAGGGTAATTTATTCATGGGGCTGGAAGTTGAGATGGAACTGGAAAGACTCTCCCAGGGAAGGAATGGCAGGTGAACCAAGTTGCTTAAAAAACAAAAAGGTGTTGAAAAGGAAATGTGAGTTGTTATTAGTGCTAATTACTGCAAGCAGGAAGTATTATGAAAAAAAGACTACAAATTTCTCACTTGAGCCTCAGGTCATGGGGAGCCAGTGACCCTATTCATAGGACACTTAACAGAATGACCAGAATTGAGGAATTAGGGGCTGGAGACATTGGAATAAAGATGCTGGTTAGGAAGCAATGAGATCATCCCCAAGTATAAATGGAGAAGGAGAACATGTAAGAAAGAAACTGTCAGTAGCTAGACTCTTTAAACATCACTGATTTAGTGACTGACAGGAATAATCAACACCTCAACACTATGCGGTGAATACAATGTGCCTCCTCCAGTTGTAAGAAGTCAGACGATTACTAAGCAGAAAGCAAAATGTAGTTACTTCAGCCTGGTCCTAAAAATTACTTTTGGCTCAGATCTATGCAATGTGCATAAAAACCTTCCTGCCATTAAGAAAATTTGAACTTGCTCTTCATGATTTCCATGTTAAGACTGCTGATTGAGGGAAGCCTGGGTGGCTCAGCGGTTTAGTGCCAACTTCAGCCCAGGATGTGATCCTGGGGACCTAGGATCAAGTCTCATGTCCGGCTCCCTGCATAGAGCCTGCTCCTCCCTCTGCCTGTGTGGCCTTTCTCTGTGTCTCTCATGAATAAATAAATAAAATCTTAAAAAAAAAAAAAAAAAAGACGACTGATTGATATTGATTGGTTGGTCGATTGGGCTGTATGGTTGAGAGAGAACTATTCACACAGGATCCTGTCTGATATTTTACCATCCTGAAGTGTCATTCTGTTCTGTTGGGATTTTTCTAAACCTGGGTTTGGCCACTATAATTGACAGACCCTCTTTGTTCAGCAAAAGAGCATCAGAAACCCAAACATGAGCATTCCAAGAGATCCTCACAGGGAGACCATCCTAGGCATGTGGTTATGGTAAAATATAGTGACTGGGAATGAGCTTCCTGCACTATCACTTCCTGGTGCAGAGAGTACACTAAAATGTCTTTAGTCTTCTTTACTTAGGATTTGACTGTATCAAAAATTGGGGGAGATGAAAAAAAGATTGTAATAAGTTCTGATGCCCTTGAAAAAGAAAAATCAAGGCCTGTCCTAGGGAAAGGAATTTGAAAACTAATTTACAGAGAATACAGACTAAAACTAGGTCATTTATTAAATCATGTTTAATTGTGTCTGAAGCATTACAAAGGGCTTGTGAAATAGATAACTCACAAAGGGCCTACAAGGGAATCATATAAATTCTACTATCATGCTGGCTGAGCCTAAAAATGAAACCAAGAACTCCACTCCTTTTGTAGTTTATAGAATAGATGGGGTGCAGTGTAAAGAAACAGGCCCCAGGAACATAGAAACTTGTGAGACCCAGATTCACCCTTTACTGACAAGGCAATTCTGCCCATTTCATCTTTCTAAGCTACAATTTTCTTCACTGTGAAACAAGTATTTTAACTATACCTAATGCAAATGCTTTCTAGGAATGCAATCAGATTGTTCTGTAAATTGTAAGGAACTACAGAGATATTCTGTAGTCATTTGACCACTCATTGAATGTCACATTCTAGCATAATTCTCATATTCCCCATTCCTCTTCATCAGAAGCCCAGCGATCTCATTCTGAGTATTAAAGAGCTCATGGGTCTCTTGTCCCTTACTCCCCTCCACACAACTTTTGTCTTCAAAAAGGTTCTTTTCAGTAAATATTTCATTCTCCTCATTTATCCAGATCTCATTCTCATACAAACCAATGTCATCAAGGTTTTTTAGACTCTTTCTGGAAAGAAGAAGAAAATATGGGGAGTAGCTGTAATTGGGAAAAACCGAACTACTGCTTAGAAGAACGAGAAAGATACTTACAGGCTCCATCACCCCACCTAGTTGTGAAAAAATTTTAATAGTCAATTTCAATAAGCTATTGAACAATAAGCATAGGAAAGGGAGGCTCCAAGAAAGAAAGTGAAAAGTATTTCAAGTATGAGGTATTGTGCCCACTGGAGATAGATAGGCTCAGAAGTTTAGGACTTCTATCCTACTATGGACGCTATGGATAGTCTGGGGGAACCTGTAGACAACACCTTCTCAATACTTAAGGCATACAGAATAAGAAAGCAAAATTAAAATAGTTATCGGGGTGCCTGGATGGCCCAGTGACTTAAGCATCTCCCTTCATTCAGCTCAGGTCATGATTTCGGGTCCTGGGATGGAGCGCCAAGCCAGGCTTCCCTGTTCAGTGGGGAGTTTGCTTCTCTCTCTGTGGTCTCCCTCTCTCAAATAAATAAAATATTTTAAGTTATCAAAGTGTATTTCTTTTAAGTATGTGCAGGAATAATATCTTTCATTAGGAACTCATCAAATAACTAGGAGTAGCATATAGAATAATGAAGGGGTCATGAGCTCACTATGAGTATAAAGGTTATTTCAAGATATCTGCAAGTACTGGGATGCCTGGGTGGATCACAGCTGAACGCCTGCCTTTGGCTCAGGGCCTGATCCCAGGTCTGGGGATCAAGTCCCACATGAGCCTCCCTCCGAGGAGCCTTCTCCCTATGTATCTGCTGGTCTCTCATGAATAAACTTTTTTTAAAAAATTTTTAAAAATTTTTTAAAAAGATATCTGCAGTACTTTAAGTGATAAGAAAACACATTGTGCTTCCAATTTCTGAAAAAACCACAGGAACTTGCAATATCCATTGTCATTAGCTCCCTACACCCATCATGGAAGGAAAAGAGAAGTTGCCTTTACACTTTGTGGAAATAAAGACAATGTTTCCCCACCAAGTTTACAGCCCCATCATGACCTGTAGGACTTCGATTTTTGCCAAGATTTCCCAGTAAAATTAAGTGGGCTTCCCAGAAATAAATAGGAACATTTCTGCCCTGGGAAAAAAAGTGGACCTGGATCAAACCATCTAGAACCCATTTACTTTCCACTGGTCACCTCAACTCCAGGAACTTTCTAGACAACCACGCAGCCTTCCCAGAGATTTTTCTTTTATTGTTTCACCTTTCCAATTCCTGCTGCCTATTCAGCAGAAAAATCGACAGCCAACCATGGCTCCCCGGTACCTCTCAACAAACTAGGGGAAGGAATCTGGTAGGGAGGATAAACTATAAACCACCAGAGGTGACATTTACACTTTTTACTATTGCTTAGCACCAGAGTGGCAAAAAAATTATGCAGCTTTAGCGAAGAATACCCTGAATAGTCCCTCAAAAGACTCCACCTGATCAAGGGTGAAAAAAATCCAAGATTTCCCATTGTTTGGAAATATATAAAATTTTTTATCTCAAACTCTAATTGGTTAAGTATTTGTTTTAACGGAGGTACTGTAAACCCAGACTACCTTCTGATTGGCTAACTCTCAACAGCTCTGCAAACCAATGGGAAAGGAAATTTCTCGTAACAATCGGAGACTATAGTAACAAATCCTAATTAGTTAAGAGAATTACACACTCTTCTCTAACATGTCCGGACTTGGGAAGCAGGGCGGCAAGGCTCGCGCCAAGGCCAAGACGCGCTCGTCGCGCGCCGGGCTCCAGTTCCCGGTGGGCCGCGTCCACCGCCTGCTCCGCAAGGGCAACTACGCGGAGCGGGTCGGGGCGGGCGCGCCGGTGTACCTGGCGGCCGTGCTGGAGTACCTGACGGCCGAGATCCTGGAGCTGGCGGGCAACGCGGCCCGCGACAACAAGAAGACGCGCATCATCCCGCGCCACCTGCAGCTGGCCATCCGCAACGACGAGGAGCTCAACAAGCTGCTGGGCCGCGTGACCATCGCGCAGGGCGGCGTCCTGCCCAACATCCAGGCCGTGCTGCTGCCCAAGAAGACCGAGAGCCACCACAAGGCCAAGGGGAAGTGAAGAGTTTCACAGCTATTATTTCCCCAAAGCCAGAGGCCCTTTTCAGAGCCAAGTCTCTCCTACGGTAACGGTGACCCGGAATGGCGGTTGCAAAACTGCTTTAAGTGCCAGCGAGCCAATCAGACAGCGGCGGCAAACTGAAAACGCACCGCGGGCTGGGAACGCGCAGAGAGCGGAAAATGCGAAATGCACTAGTTACTAAGCTCTTTTGCCGGATATTAGTGGGTGGCTCTGAAAAGAGCCTTTGATATTTGCAAGACATCCAGGAGCTGCAACTTTTACTTCTTCTTAGGCGCAGCTTTCTTTACCTTTGTTGTCGCCTTGGGTTTGGCCGCTTTGGGCTTAGCCGCCTTGGGCTTCGGGGCTTTGGATTTGGCCGCCTTCTTGGGCTTGGCCGCCTTCGCCTTCTTGGGGCTCTTGGCCACCTTCTTGGTGACGGCGGCCGCGGCGGGCTTCTTGGCCTTCTTCGGGGTCTTCTTAGCGCTCTTCTTGGGGGTGCCGGTCCCCGCCGTTTTCTTGGGTTTCTTAGGAGTGGCCCCGGAGGGCTTCTTGGCTCTGGCCGCGCCCGCCTTCTTGGCCTTGGGCTTGGCCTCCCCGGATGCCGCCTTCTTGTTGAGCTTGAAGGAGCCCGAGGCGCCGGTGCCCTTGGTCTGCACCAGGGTCCCCTTGCTCACCAGGCTCTTGAGGCCCAGCTTGATGCGGCTGTTGTTCTTCTCCACGTCGTAGCCGGCGGCCGCCAGCGCCTTCTTGAGCGCGGCCAGGGACACGCCGCTGCGCTCCTTGGACGCGGCCACCGCCTTGGTGATGAGCTCGGACACCGGGGGCCCGGACGCCTTGCGCTTTCCAGCAGCAACGCCCGCCTTTTTCGCCTTCTTCTTAACAGGTGTCTTCTCTGCAGGTGCGGAAGCAGCAGGAGCAACTGGCGCGGTCTCCGACATTTTCCTGCTTAGCCAAAAAACACAAAAAGCCCGCGAAGACTATCAAGACGACGTGGCGCCAGCCCGGCGGCCGCGGGTTTATATAGAGCACGACTGAGTGATGATTGGCTGCCTGCGCGGTACGCCGCGCTGCTCCGTAGGGCTCCTCCGCTCTGCAGCGTGGCTGTGTTTCTTTCCTCTCAAAAAAGAAGAAAAACATCAGAAATCTAGGCATGAAATAATTAGAGATTTGGAGGAAACGGATCCAAGAGTCTTCAGGCTTCGTTCCTGCCTTATTTGCTTTACCTACTTTCGAAACCAGTACTCTGAAACTTTCCTGATTCTCCAAACTCTCTCGAAAACTTCCGTCAACTTGAGACAACTTTCAGATTTTCCTTAAAAATACCATTTCTCTCTGTTTCCTTTGCACGTCTGTCGTCCAGGGTATTATTCTGCACATTCTTTTCTTTGCGAGCTTACATAAATAAGCTCATTTTTACTCAAACCTACAAGGAAAAACGTTTTTTTCGCGAGAGCAATAGCACAGCTCTCCCACAGTTGTTTGCAGTGAGCACTGGGGATGGGCCCTGGGATTGAAAATTTTACGTTCAAAATAGATAACTATTTTTTTAATAGATTCATTTTTAAGTATTTGAGTGACCAGTACGTAAACTGTTTGATCCCCGTGTTTTGGTGATTTAAACATTTTAGGAAGGATGGGGGGCAATGTTGCTCCATTCATTTTCCAGATAAACAGTTCTAAATGGAAACTTCCCTAAAATAGGAGTAGAATAGATTTTTCAGACCCAGAGTGGGCATTAGAAATCAACCACCAAAACTCTAAGGAGGAATAGTGATATTGTCATAGAAGCAATAGAATGGCAGTTCTATGTCATTTTACCAGTCTGGTGTTGAAGACACAAAGTCACGTGTTTATATCCCATCTCCTTAAAACCAAATTACTTAATGACAGACACCCTGTCCATAAGATATTTTCCCTCCAATACTTAATATAGAATTTTGAACATATTTCCTGTATTTCAAAATGATATTTAAAGTACAAATTTCATTTGACTCTTTTCCAACATTGGAAGTAGGGACATAAGATTAGAAAGCAAAAGTTCTCATTTAAATCACTCTGGATTTTCCTAATGCTTCCTGGACTTTTTACTAACAGAATATGAACTAGGCTGTCACAACCTCAATTATTTGGCTAAATATGTCCACCTAAGAAGTTGAACAAACATTTCACAGACAATAGGACCCACTTTACTGTTTTATCTCTTTTAGTTGTCAACACAACAAAGCTAATGAAATTAGGTAAATATTGGGTAAGTAAGCACAAATTTAATATTCTCTACCAACTAATTGGATACTGAAATTAAACTCCATGCTTCTTAAAACAGATAAACAAGAAGAGTATTTTGGTGTTATGTTTCTTCTAACAAATACCCTTACTATCGAAATTTTGTTATTCTAGGTTACATTCAATAATGATTTAAGAATTTTCTCAAATAAATCCAAGATAGGATAATCAGTTTGGAAGATGTCATCTCTCCACACTTAACTAATTCCATAAAGGGCACTTGGCTTGTTTTTAAATAGTCATTTATTGACGGCACTAACTCAAACCAAGCCTCTGGGATTAGGTCCATGTTATATATCAACCACAAATACTGTGAATAAAGAGGTACATTTATAGGATTGGATCTGCAGCATGCAGTTCTCCCCCCAAAGAGGCATTTTATGAATATCTGGAAGAGGCTATTTGTCATCCTCAATAGCATTGTCAATAGCAATAGTCCCAAACATTATATCAGCCCTGTTTCTTTTCAGATCAGAGGTTATTATTATCTGGACCTAAAGATAGGATTAAAATTAAGATTTTTAAAAGTTTACCATTTCGGTCATCATTGTAGTCAAAACATCAGTTGTTGAATACTCCTTTGGAATCATTCCCTAAATTACATACACTCAATTAAGATAGGTGACAAGTTCCCACAGCAGATGTCACCATTCCATTCTTGTACAGTTCTTGCTGGTTCCCAGGGCTATTTAGGTTCCAAATAAATGAGAAGACCCTGGGGCTATTTCCTTAACTGTAGGTAATCTCTGCCCTTCCCGGAGGGCAATAGTTGAGATTTGATTCCGCCTCAAAAATTCTTCCACAGATGTTTATAGAAGGATGGGGCTTGACTGAATATGATCACTGCTACTGCCTAAGACCCAAGTACTTAACCTCTCTGTAAATGTAACATGGACAACATTCTGGAAAGCTGGCTCATCCCAAGGGACTGTAAACTTGAAATGTTTCCCCTATTACCTTGGTAGCCCACACAAAAAAATTGTGTTCATTATTTTCAAGCCTCAGTCTGTGTATATATATTAAGATGATTGATTTTACACTAGACTGAAACTTTACATTTATTTTATAAATGTAAAAAAAAAAAACTGAGAAAGGAGCACCTGGGTGGCTCAACACTTGAGTGTCTGCCTTTGGCTCAGGTCCTAATCCTAGAGTTCCTGGATCAAGTCCCACATCAGGCTCCTCACAGGGAGCCTGCCTCTCCCTCTGCCTGTCTCTGCCTCTCTCTCTCTCTCTGTATCTCTCATGGATAAAATCTTTAAAAACAATAATAATAATAATAACTGAGAAAAAAACACAGCTGGATGAGTGATCGCTCACTTATTTCACGTTCTCCCAATTTTGGAGAAATTTTGGGAGAAAACCCTCTCATCATAGTAAACCACCGTGAAAGATCTAGGTAGCATTCATCAGGTCAGTCCACCATGGCTGTACTTTCATGTTCCAAAATTCAGTGAATCTCAAAGTTTAAGGAGAAATAGGACTATAAGTAAATACTAAATGAATACCAAAAAGAGTGAAGAAAACATAAGGCCTCGATAGCAGATAGAGCATTGTATTTGGGTCAAATGTATTCAGAAGGGCCATAAGATAGCACATCTTTTTAAATTTCCTATCAGATGCTGTCATCTGAGGACATTCTCCCACTTGAAACATCTCTTCAAGGATAACTATATCTCATTTTATTTCCTAAGAAGGGCACTACTGATGTCAAACTTCCAATTTTCTTTTGTATGTCCCCCTCTGTCTGTACTATCTGGTATACCCAGAAGTTGACTATTCTCCATCATATTTCAAAAATACTCTAATCCTCACTTCCTACAGTAAATCTCACTTTCAAACATCCACCACAGTCCCTTCCCAGTCTGGACTAGAAGTTCCTCAGAAGAAATTTACTGTCACAGCACAGCCCAACAGCATATATGCAACGATAGAATTGTTCCCTATCTGCACTGTCAAATGAACAGCCACCACCTACATGTGGCTATTTAGCAGTTAAATATGGCTGTAGTGACTGGAGAAATTCTTAATTTGATTTAATTTTAAGTAATATAAATTTAAATGAGCACGTGGCTAGTGGCTAACATAGGGCAGCACTGCTTTAAAACAACTCTTCTCAAACTTGAGAAAGCGTACCACCCACTTTGAGATCCTGTTATTTTTAATTGCCATGTCAATTCAGTAGACTTTGGGTTGGATCTAAAATCCTGTGTGTCTAATAAGCTTCCAGGTGATGCTGTTGTTGCTGGGATACAGCTTCTCCACCCTTTACTGCTCAGCAGAAACTGCATTCTGGGCTGATGTCTGACCCCTTACCCTGAGTTTACTTTTCTCTTCCCTCTTCTAAGCTTTTTATTCTTTAAAAAAAGAAAAAGAAATAACATGTATGATCCTCTTTGTAAACCTGGTATTTGTGCACTGATCTTGGCATATACTAGACCCAAACTTGTTGAATGAGTGAACGAATCAGTGATTCTTGTTTGGTGCATAGGAGATCACTGTGTCTTAAGTTTTCAGGTAACTGTAACTGAGTTAAATTTCAGATAGTGAAATGAATAATCTGCTGACTGCCTATACCATAGATACCAGCAGAGAAGGAATTTTTCTTAATTAGCTTTTATAGGACACAGAAGGGACGCACTTACTACGAGTGTGCAGAATGAGTAAATATTGGCATTTCTTTATTAGGTATATCAATGTATCATCTGTGTGTAGAACATTAATTCTCTTTTTTACTTGGACAATATTTTAGTTTCTTAGCGTTGATTTTTATTATTACTTCTGTTGATTTACAAACTTTTACACAGCATGATGCACGTATCTTCAATGTTTTACTGACATAGATCAGTGATAGATGGCAACTTCATAAGACCGGAATTAGAAGGCCTCCGGTCTATCCCCAACAGTATCATTTACGGGAACAGAGTGAGGTCTCCGGGATTCTTCATCTCTACGATGCAAATAGTGCTTTATAAATTTGGGAGTAAAGAGTAGAAATCCAATTAAGGTTTGCTCCCCGTCCTACAGCTCCCTCTTTAATCAGGAATGCTGAAAACCACCTAAGTCTACAAGTTCGGCCAAAGGGAATGTTCCCCTTTGATCTGCCAAATTTAAGTAAGTATTATTAAAATTGTAAGCGTTAGTACTTGCATTTTTAAAAGAATCTTCACATTTAAAAATTAATTTTATTGTCATCCCTCCCTTTTATAGACAACCGTAGAGTCACGGCCTCCTTTTTATAAATGATAAAAGAGCTTAGGGGGCTTAAACAAACATCAAGGATCGGAGGGACCCACAGGCAGACCTGGGCAGGGAAACCCGCGATTCCCGCTCTGCGAGGAAACCGAGAGGGAGAGTCCCAGGCTCCGCCCCTTCCAGGCTTCAGCCGCGAGCCCCGGGCGGAGATGGAAGAGGCGGAGTGGGTGCCGGTCCCGCCTCCACCGTTTCAGTTTCCGCAAGGGTCCGCAGGAGTGGTACTTAAAGGGCCGCAGCCAGGATTTCGGCACTACTGTGACTGTCACTCACTGTAGGTCTTGCCTGGTCGCGGCAAGGGCGGGAAGGGGCTGGGCAAGGGCGGCGCCAAGCGCCACCGCAAGGTGCTGCGCGACAACATCCAGGGCATCACCAAGCCCGCCATCCGGCGGCTGGCCCGGCGCGGCGGCGTCAAGCGCATCTCGGGCCTCATCTACGAGGAGACCCGCGGGGTGCTCAAGGTGTTCCTCAGAAGAAGAGCTGTTTTCGCAGGACGAAGGTAACGCCGCTACCTGGTCCTTCCTTCCCGTGGGCTCTAGTTAGCGCGCACTTCGTCCCCTGGCAGGTTCAACGCAGCCGGCTAGGGTGGCCTTCAGACCAGGCCATGCTCACCCTGCTGCTTCTCTTCTATATCTGCTTTCTCTACCTGAAAACGTGCCCTTGCTTCTCTTGGACAGCATTAGTATGTTTTAATGGAGCCCATGACATATTACCAACTTTTTCCCTTAAGTTCTAATATTCCTCTCCTGGTGCCTTACTCTATGTTATACACTTGTGTCTCAGCTTGATCCAGAGCCCTATCAGTTCCTACCTTTTTCTTATGTTAAATTTCCCAAGTAATCTGGAGTACTTCCATGTCTCATTAACCATTCAGGGTTATCTGACTTCTGCACCACTCACTAAAAATACCCTTGCTGTGGTTACCAGTGACCTAATAACATCTTTGCTAAATCTGACACTGTTCATCTCTCCTCCCTTCTCTTCACAGGGTTTTGTGGTACCTTTCTTCCTGATTCATCCTATGTGAGTATGATTCTTCTCCGTTTGCTTTTGGGGTTCCTGCTTGTGATTCTAACCAATTTACAAACTTGCATTCTCTGCACATCAGCCTATAGATCCTCCTTGAGCCATCTCTTCCATAAATGGTGAGACATACACACACCCAGGAAAGACCTGAGCATGAAAGGTGAAAGGTGTGAAAGGTGTCATCTCTATATCCAGAAGAGAAGAATTTATCACCAGAAACAGGGAGTTGCGCTAAGAGAAATCTGTACAGACAGGCCTTGTTAAAATAAGCCTGCATCTCCTTTCCTCCCCTATTTTTGTTGCTATTTCAGGATTACTACACTTTGTTCAACCTCTATGTAAACCCTTAGGCTAACCACTTTTTGGGTCTTCATTTTCCTGTGAAGACTCCTATGAACACATAAAAATACTAAATAACATGTGTATGCTTTTCTCTAGTTAATCTGTTTTTTGTCAATTTAATTCTCAACCAGACACCCTGGAAGAGTAGAGGGAAGTTCTGTCTCTTGTACATAGCCTTCCAGTCCGATTCTCAATGCCTTTCTGTGCCCAGATTCATGTCCAATCTTTCCCTGCATGCTTCATCACCCCACTTCCCCTATAATCCCTCCACCTCACTGTGGTCAGAGACTGAGTGATGTGCACATTTCACTATCTTTTAGGCAAAACAACAAAAATCAAAAGCCTTCATTGGTTCTCCTAAAATCTACAGAATAAAATCCAATTCTTGGGCAGCCCCGGTGGCGCGGCGGTTTAGCACCGCCTGCAGCCCAGGACGTGATCTGGAGACCCTGGATCGAGTCCCACGTCAGGCTCTCTGTATGGAGCCTGCTTCTCCCTCTGCCTGTGTCTCTGCCTGTTTTTCTCTCTCTGCATCTCTGAATAAATAAATAAAATCTTTAAAAATAAAAAAAAATAAAATAAAATCCAATTCTTGTGTTTTTTCTGGCACTTGCTCACCTGCACAATCTCCTCTTCCAGTCTCTGTCCCCATCCAACGCTGACTCCTCCAGCTGAATATACTCAACAACTTGTCATATGTGGAACTTTGTTTTCCTCAACAGTGTCCTTTATATACACCATTTCTTCTTCCACAAAGAACCTGCAACTCCTTTGGAGATTCTACAAAAATCTTTTTCCTCCACTGCTCTGAGGTTCTCTGGCTGGGCCCTGTAAATTACACTGAGAAAAGACAGCCTAACGAGAGGAAAATAAACAGAAGCTTATCGTGTGCATCACATACACACACAAGCACTCAGTGGTAACTCAAAGCGGAAGTTAAGAGTTTGGGATCTATGTATCTCACTTCTTAGGGGAGAGGGAGTGAAGGGCTCTCATGGAAAAGCAAATGACTTTTTGGAAAGATAAATGGACCCTAAAAGAATAGATGGCAGATATGATAGCTGATGACAGTCTGTCTGGAAGTGGTACCAGCTTCTCATTTCCAACAGGAGACTAGTCTTGCTCCTGAGGAGGGGATGTATGATACTGAGTTATTTTTGAGGATCCGCATTTAGGCAAAGAAAGATTTCAGGAACTCCAATGCCTTCAGCACAAAATTAATTCTTACGCTTTGTATAAGTGCTTATATAGGGTGGCATATTTTGGGGTGGCATATCCTGATCCCCTTCATTCCATTAAGAGTTTCCTTCAGGAGAACTTCACCTGATTCTCCCAGGAAAAATCAGTGCCTAGGACTTCCTAACATTCGAAAAAATGTACTTCACACATATGCCTAACACAACTTCAGAGTTCCCTATACGACTTCCGAGCTGCTACACACTTAAACAGCTCCCTAGAGACCTTAAAGACTTGGACAATATCTTCATTTTGATATTCTCAGGACCCAGGTAATTACCAGCACATGTTATTCCCTTAGTAAATATTTGTGCAATGCCTAAATGATTCAATCAATGATTACACTATCAAAGGCCACAAGAAAACTTTTATATGAATTCTTCCCCTTTAATATTAACTGCTCCCCTAGAACTTTTTCCTCTCTTAACATTTTCCTTTAGACAGATGTCAGGCTTGTAGCTACAAAGCCCTATTGCAGACTTTTAAGATACAGACTGTAAACCCTTAATTTGTAATAAATTGTTTAATGGTTCCCAACCTGCATTTGTAAAATAAATATGCCTCGTTTCTTGTTCTTACAGATCTTTATTTTAATGTCCACCTTTCAAAGAGGATAATTTTACCCAAAATTTTCTCACAAAAATGCCACTTTTATAGGCTCGTATGTAATCAAAGTGAGCTAGATTTCTACCACTATTTAATGGAATAGCCATATGTTGCTATGGAATTCCTAAGCTTTATTTTGCTGGCATGAGTTATAAGAGAAAGGAAATAAAAGAGGGATTAGCAGGATTTGGTAGGTCCATATTTGCTTTAAGTGTGTTTCAAAAACACCTATTTTTGGGGTGCCTGCGTGGCTCAGCTGGATGGGCATCCGACTCGATCTCAGGGTCATGGTTTCAAGGCTCCATGTTGGGTGTGAAGCATACTTAAAGAAAAGAACAAAAAACTGTTTCTTTAGTTCTCTAACTTGAGTTGATCTTTTCTATAATGTAAACTTTCCATAAATAATAGTGAAAGGGAATAGAAGGGAAGGGAGAAGAAATGGGTAGGAAATATCAGAAAGGGAGACAGAACATGAAGACTCCTAACTGGGAAACGAACTAGGGGTGGTGGAAGGGGAGGAGGGCGGGAGTGGGGGTGAATGGGTGACGGGCACTGGGGGGGGGGCACTTGACAGGATGAGCACTGGGTGCTATTCTGTATGTTGGCAAATTGAACACCAATAAAAAATAAATTTATTATTAAAAGAAAAAATATATAATGTAAACTTTCCTAGAAATGTGTTATTATGTTTTTAGCATATTCACATATACAGTATGAAAAATAGTTATTGCAACAGATCTTTTATGAAAATATTTAATCATCCAAATTAATTTACTCTGAAAATGGTATGTTTATTCAGAGTTATTGACTGCACTTTTTTTCTTAAAACTTTCTTTCTTTTTTTTTTTTAAGATTTTATTTGTTTATTCATGAGAGACACACAGAGAGAGGCAGAGACCTGGGCAGAGGCAGAAGCAGGCTTCCTGCAAAAGGCCTGATGCGGGACTTGATCCCAGGACCCTGGGATCACAACCTAAGCCAAAGGCAGACACTCAACCACTGAGCCACTCAGGTGTCCCTTGACTGCACTTCTGAATCCAAGATTAAAATTTGGATTTACCTATATCTGATGTGGGAACCAAAGACAAAAGAAAAATAAAATTTCCTTACTTCTTATCACCTACTGACAAAGCCTTTAAAACAGGCAGGCAGAGTGACATTCCTCTAGAAATTGCCTCAATGTTAATACTTTGCTAAGGGCAAAAGGCAGTCATAGCTTACAAGTATCCTAACCTCCAGGATCCTGTAAGTCTACTTTAACATTAAAAAGTCCATTTGGAACTTTCCTTTATCTCTAGCCCCACCCTCCCCATCCCACCCCCCCCACCCCCACCCTTGCCCCTGCCAAGATACTTGTTGGCAATCACCCTCCAAGCATATGACCTGCCGATATACATCTGAAGAGTCTCATGACTTGAGTTTTTACCAAACAGTAATAAATGACCTTTTCCCAACAATAGTTAATCCACTCAGGATCCTGGAAACCTTGCTTCCAAAATACCGGAAAGGCTTACTCTATCTCTAACCTCCTTCCTCCAGGGCAGTTCTTCCTATCCCAGTGCTTTAATAAAATCACCTTTCTGCACCAAAGATATTTCAGGAATTCTTTCTTGGCCATCGGCTTTGAGCCCTAACATCTTTCCTACATTGTATCCATTGATGTGGATTTTATTAGAATAGAATAGATAGAAAATATCAAAGTACCATTTCATGTAATACATGAAAATATCACATCATTAAATTTTGGTTTCAAGCATATATGGTTTTGTTTTGTTTTTTTTTCTGGGGAACTTGGAAGACAAAATGTTTGCAAACTACTGCAAACATTTATTTGCATAAACTACTGGTCCATTTCTTTTTTTTTTTTTTTAAGATTTTATTTATTTTTTCATAAGAGACACAGAGAGAGAGGCAGAAACATAGGCAGAGGGAGAAGCAGGCTCCAAGCAGGGAGCCCGATGTGGGATTCGATCCCAGGACTACAGGATCACACCCTGAGCCAAAGGCAGAGGCTCAACCGCTGAGCCAACCCAGGCGCCCCATTTATTTCTTTCATACATTTGTGCAGTTCCCAGACTAGAGCTTGGCCTCCTGTAACCGGGCTCCTGACCTGCAACCGTCAGCCTCCCTCACAGCTGAAATGGATATTTGTGGCCAGGCGCCACTGATCAGGCTCACCTTCCAAAGACGACTTTTCAGAACTGATGGACGGGACAGCAGAGACTATTTGGAGCTACCCTTCTGCTGGGACAGGAGCTATCAGAACATCCAGACTTTGGTAGTGGCACCAACCATGGCTTCCAGGTGGGTCAAGTACTGATGGCAGCTGTGATGGCAGCTCTAATGGCAGCGCCAGGCTGACCGCATAGCTAGGTTTTGGGTTTTGTACCTGGAAGTGTCTTCAGGCCTGGTTCCACAGCCCTCCCCAGAACGTAGTCATCTATTCCTTTAAACATCACCTTTAAAGTTTGATCAGTCAGAGTCAGCCTTTCTTGTCTGCAACTAAGAACTCTCTCTCTCTTTCTCTCTCTCTCTCTCTCTCTCTCTCTCTATATATATATATATATATATATATATATATAAAATATGTAACAAAACATAAACTCCTATATTCATATGTATATATATAAAGTGGTTTTAAATGCTTTCTGGTATATTTTAGATACTTAAAGCTGCTTCAGGGCACCTGGGTGACTCTGTCAATTGAGCATCTGCCTTTGGCTAAGATCATAATCTCAGAGTCCTGGGATGGAGTCCTATGTTGGGCTCCAGCTCAGCAGGGAATCTGCTTCTCCCTCTGTCTCTGCCCCCAAATGAATATATAAATAAATAATGTTGCTTCACAACAGTGATGTGTAAGGGAGATAAAATGAACAGGATAAAAACACAAATTTTATTTTCCATGTGCGTGGAGTCTTCACAAGAAAACAAAAACCCAGAGAAGTGGCTAGGCCAACGTACTTACATACTTGGTTGAACGAAGGAAATCATGAAAAAAGTAGTTAGAATGATATAGGGAGGCTGAAGGAAGATAAGGGTTATTTTAATAAAGTCCATTTTTACAGATTTCTCTCCATTTCATTTCCTGTCTCTGGTGAGAAGAATGTTTTTTCCTCCTGGGACAGGGAGGGGCAACCTGTCACATGGGAATTTTAGCTCCTGCTTT